TTGTTCTCACAAAGGAAGGCAGATCCTTTAGCTTGATATTTCTCATGCCTGGAATCCAATCTATTTCTTTCTCCAGGTACCCATTTGTCAGATAGCTCTCATCTGCACATTCAAATAAAAAAAAAAACATATCATATCCCTTGAATTATGAAGCATACAGAACATTGAACTAAACGCTATGACATGAAGAATAGTTAATCTGATATAGCAGTGTAAGAGTATAATAATACCTTCAAGAGGTATAAGGCCTCTTTCAGCTAGCTTTCGAACGTGAGCGAAGGCCAGGTATGAATAAGTACTAGCAGGCCAATAGAGAATGATGGGGAGTTGAAGAGCTTGAGCAGCTTCAACAGTGAAGACCATGCAGCCATCAGAAACCAAGCAAGTGACCGGGGGGATGAAGCCATTAGAGGCTGAGCGATGGAGTCTAGTAAGAAGGTTCTGGAAGGGAAGGGAGAAGTTCTTTCTGATAGAGTCACAGAGAGAAGCTATGTCCTGAGTGGCATTATCATTTGCAGGAGGAGGAAGACCATCTGGGATGGTTTCAAATTGAAAATCTGGGAGTCCATCAAGGATTTTGACACCTCTTGATCTAAGTAAGCGTTTATGGTTGAACTCGGTGTTGACGAAGGTTATGAAAAAGCCTCGAAGATGAAGAAGCTTCGCTAGTTTCAACACTGAGATGATGTGGCCTTGAGCTGGAAATGGAGTCAACACAGCATGTGGTTTTGATCCTCCTACTGCAATAGAATCCATCGCTGTATTTCAAATATCACTCTCTCTCTCCCAATGTTGAATCTGAAGCTCGGGTTTTAGGGATTAGGCAACAAGAGTATGAAGTTTTATAGAGCATAATGATAAACACACACACACCCCACAAATATTGTCGACATTAATGTTGAAAAGTCCAACTTGCGCAAAACATCAAAGAAAAATCATCTGTAGAAGTGGACTTGACTGAGAAATTAATGGGATCCTGTTTGTCATCATCCCTTTAAAATATTATTGAGGATGCAAGACTTATCTAAAACAGGAATTGGCATGTCACTTTTCAACATGCGTGTCGGGATGAGAATTGGATGGCTAACTATTTAGCGAAATACTCACATAACCTTGTGAACTTTTTTGGGATCCTTGATCACCTCCTCCTTTTCATGAAGAGGCGGAAGGTGATGAGGGAGCTGAGTTTTTGCTTTTTTATTCTTTTATTTAGGTTTTTGTAGAGATTTTTCTTTGTATCCGGCTTGTATTTCAAAAAAAAAAAAAGGGATCCAGTTTGCGTGCTCGGTGGTGTGCTCATCACTTAAACGCAGCGTTTAACTTACTTCCCTCAACATTTGCTGAACCAGTTTCAATGCTCATCACCTTGATGAGCACTCTAAACTCATCAGATTTGAACTATCTATATCTTATTTGAATTGTCTTGATTTAAATCTTTAATTAATTATTTTTAAATAGAAAAATCTATTTTTTTGAAAAAATTATATTTAAGGGATTATCTTTATTTTAGATTCTATACATATTAAAATAGCTATTTTAAACAAATAAAAATAAAAAAAGAAATCAAATATAGATCATCCAAATGAGATACGGATGATGTAGATTTGATGAGTTTACAATGCTCATAAAAGTGATGAGCACCGAAACTGGTTCTGAAATTAATGCTACCTCTAGTACTTAATATAAGAGTTAATTATACATTTAGTTTGATCATAAATAGAAAACCTCAATTTATGTCATTTCTCATATTTATTTATTTTTCAAAGCAGTCTTTATAGTAGTTGTACTTACACATATTAAAGATTCCATCAAATGATAGTTCTATCTAATACACATGATTAACAAGTGCATTCTAAGAAAGATAACACATATTTATTACAAATAACTAATCTAGCAAACTTTCTTAATCTACTCAAATTAATCTACTGATTCTTATATTAAGGAATATCAAAAGTAGTATGATAATATTCATTATGGATTTTGGATCTGGAACATTTGGTGCAATTTCGTATTATTCTTTGTATTCCAAGAGAGGGGATTTTTATTTTTTTGAAAAGAGAAAGCCTACAAGTGTTGTATGAGAGAGAATGTGAAGAAAACGTAGAAACAACAGTAAAGCACACATACCGGATGTTGACAAAATACACTCCAGTCTCATCAAAACATCTTATAGATTATCCAAATTAATTTTGGACAGTACAGATTTTATTTAAATTCTTAAATAATTTTTATTTTAATAAATATGTAATTTAAAATGAAGATAATATTATAGTTAAAAATTTAAAAAAAATAGTTTTATTATTTAAAAAGTGGAGATTAAAAATTTTAAATCTTTAATGTCTGCAAACATTAGAGTTCGGGTAATTCAGTTTTTACGACAACTACGACCACTCGACGTTGGAGGCTGCGGTGAGCTCCCACCGAATCCTGAATTTGGATGCTATTTTTGGTCTTATCTGAAGAAATGGATGAGGTTGAAATGAATTCGGCTTTATTTACGTGTGGAAAGGGACGAAGCCCAAAATGTTTTCGATTGCTTTTTCTTTTTCTTTTTAACGATTACAGGACGAAGACCAAACTGCTAGATTCATTGCACACTGAAATTTACAATTCATTCTCATTAATAATTATAAAATTCAAAATCAAGACAAGAAAGCTGAAATGTCATTTTTCAATTGCTCAGGATTTTCATGGGGAGAATGAGACCAAAAAAAAAAAAAGAATTTGAAAATTACAGGTTTATTTGATTTCTTGTTGTGAAAATAATTTTTTATTAAAAAATTTGTTTGGTCAGTTTTCTAGGTAGTTTAAAAATAATAATAACATGTTTTTAAAAATTAAAAAATCAAAATCATTTTTAGATGTTTTTTTTTTGTTTTTTTAATGGAAATTTCAAATTTCTTTCAGTGGGATTCACTTAGATGCAAACGAATTCTAGGTCTAATTAATCTTTGTATGATATTTTATGCACCTATTTGACTACTCCGATAAAATAAGGCTTTTTTTTTTTTTGCCTTTGTGCCCGAGTAAAACAAAGCCTCTTATAAGAATATAAAATTAGTACTCCATTGTACTTCTTTTTTTTTTTCAAAGAAAATTTCATTCCAAAAATATCAACAGTACATCAAACACTAATACAAGTAGAAATCTGACCAAAACAATCTCAAATATGAATCAGGGGGGAAAAATCAACCAATACCCGTATGATCATTTCTTCGTTTAACAATATCAGCTTTGCATTTTTTTTTTCTTTATGAAGAGAATCACCTACTAAACTCAGCCATTAAAATCTATTGCAGACAATGAGCTGTTACAAGCCATTCATTGACTCACTAACCTTCTTTACCCCAAAAAAAAAAACTTGTTGAAATTAAAAAATCAAAGTAAAATCTTATATGTAAAGTTAGAGGATAAAAATACGATTTTATTTAATCTTATCACTAAAATCGAGGGGTGACAAATTATTTTTTAACTAATTCACCCAGATATAAAATTAATTAAAATTCTAAAATTTATTCCATCTTTTCAAAAAGTATCCCATAATTAATTGCTCAATAATATTTTATATCAAGGGTACTTGTAAAAAAAAACTATATTTATTGCTTCATACTATATTTTATTACATGTTAGGCCGTTAGCCACTAACTTTCTTTACCTAACTGGTCTCATAACAGGAACAAAGACCAATCCAAGAGTTGATAACAGGGCCTAAACTTAAACAAAAAAAAAAAAAAAAAAAGGTGGGCGGCCATAATCTATTTAAACTATTTTATTAGTAAATTCTCAATTTCTCCCAAAGGTTTGGCGAGGTGGAAAGCACCCCTAGAGAGAAAACAGAACATGCTCTAACTTCTCACATAATGAAGAGTTGTTATACTGATCTTCATTTAAATCTCCCGCTAGTATATTTATGGAGGGCTGATCGTTTTTCCATCCTATCACAAGTGTTCAAGTACTTGTACGCAATATTTTTTAATATCGTAAAGAAACAGTAAAAATCTAACCAAATATTATAAAAAAATGTAAAAAAAAATCTAGCTTTTTGACGGAAAAACTTCATAACCAAATATGTTGTAAAAGAAGTTCACCCTTGGCTAGTGTACTATAATGGAAATATATAGGGTTACTGTAGTTAATTTCCTTGTAGCAGCACGTCCTTGATCACTTTCTCCAAGTTGACGAATGAAGAACCGCCAGGTTTTGTGTTCTCTTCTGCAATTTTCTTCCACTCTAAACATTTTTGTCTCATCTCCTTCCCCTTCTCCCCTTCCACCAACTCATTCACAAGCTTTTCCACTTCTTCTCTCTTCACGTTATTGTCAATCTCAACCCCTATTCCCCACTCTTTGCACGCATATCTACAATTCGTTTGTTGATCTCCAAAGAAAGGCCAACAAGCCATAGGAACTCCTGCACAAATACTCTCAGTCATAGAGTTCCACCCACAATGTGTCAAGAAGCCTCCAATGGATGAATGGTTCAACACTTTTTCTTGTTCACACCAGTTTGCTATGAAGCCTCTTTCTTTGGTTTCACTCAAAAACTCAGAAGATAGAATCACTGAGCCACCATTCACAAGGTCAGGTCTTATGATCCATAAGAAGGGTTTCTTGCTATTGGCTAAACCCCAAGCAAACTCATACAGTTGTTCTGGGGACATAACTGTGATGCTTCCAAAATTCACGTAAATCACAGATCTAGGTTCTTTGTGTTGTAGCCAATCAATGCATTGAGTCTCTTCTTTCCAGAGACTAAAATTTAGAGACGCCACTCGGTTGTTATTATGTGGTGTTTGGTTCAAAATCGAAGGGAGAGGGCCTATTGAGTAAAGAGGAGGTTGGTAAATGGAGGAAAGAGCTTTCACTGCCTCACCTTCAAGCTCATCAAATGTGTTGAAACAAATGGCATGGGCTTTGTGAGCTTTTTCCGTCATTTCATTGAAAAAGTCCAAGATTAAGTCATTTGGGTCTGTTATTCTCAAAAAGGAAGGCAGATCCTTTAGCTTGATATTTCTCATGCCTGGAATCCAATCTATTTCTTTCTCCAGGTACCCATTTGTCAGATAGCTCTCATCTGCACATTCAAATGAAAAAAAATTATCATATCCCTTGAATTATGAAGCATACAGAACATTGAACTAAACGCTATGACATGAAGAATAGTTAATCTGATGTAGCAGTGTAAGAGTATAATAATACCCTTAAGAGGTATAAGGCCTCTTTCAGCTAGCTTTCGAAAGTGAGCGAAGGCCAGGTATGAATAAGTACTAGCAGGCCAATAGAGAATGATGGGGAGTTGAAGAGCTTGAGCAGCTTCAACAGTGAAGACCATGACGGCATCAGAAACCAAGCAAGTGACTGGGGGGATGAAGCCATTAGAGGCCGAGCGATGGAGTTTAGTAAGAAGGTTCTGGAAGGGAAGAAGGAAGTTCTTTCTTACAGCGTCACAGAGAGAAGCTATGTCCTGAGTGGCGTTATCATTTGCAGGAGGAGGAAGACCATCTGGGATGGTTTCAAATTGAAAATCTGAGAGTCCATCAAGGATTTTGACACCTCTTGATCTAAGTAAGCGTTTTTGGTTGAACTCAGTGTTGACGAAGGTTATGAAAAAGCCTCGAAGATGAAGAAGCTTCGCTAGGTTCAACACTGAGATGATGTGGCCTTGACCTGGACATGGAGTCAACACAGCATGTGGTTTTGATCCTCCTCTTGCAATAGAATCCATTGCTGTATTTCAAATCTCTCTCTCTCTCTCCGTCTCTCTCTCTCTGTGTCTCTCTCTCAGTGTTGAATCTGGAGCTTGGGTTATAGGGATAAGGCAACAAGTGGATGAAGTTTTATAGAGCACAATGATACACAGTTACACGCACCACAAACATTGTCGGCAATGTTGAAAGTCCAACTTGCGCCAAGTGAGAAATTAGGTTATCCGCAAATTAAACGTCAAAGAAAAATCGTTTGTAGAAGCGATGGACTTGGCTGAGAAATTACCACTACCTTCAACCTTTAATACAAGAGTTTGTTAAACATTTAGTTTCATCCTCATTTACTCTCATATTTATTCTTTTTTTTAAAAAAATAATCTTTATAGTAGTTGGATTTGTACATACTAAAAATTTTATAAAATGATAGTTCTAACTAATATATGTGATTAATAAGAGTATTTTAAAAAAAATAACACATATTTATTATAAATAACTAACCTAACAAATTTTTTTTTATTTACTCAAACTAGTGTTATGTTAAGGGTCAGAAGTAGCATAATAATATTGGTTATGGATTTTGGATCCTGAATATTCGGTGCAATTTCGTATTATCGTTTGTATTCCATGATGAATTGATGAGGGGATTTTTATTTTTTTGAAAAGAGAAAACTTACAAGTGTTGTATGAGAGAGAATGTGAAGAAAATGTAGAAAAAACTGTAGGACACATACCAGATGTTGACAAAATACACTCCAGTCTCATCAAAACATCTTATAGATTATCCAAATTAATTTTGGACAGTACAGATTTTATTTAAATTCTTAAATAATTTTTATTTTAATAAATATATAATTTAAAATGAAGATAATATTATAGTTAAAAATTTTAAAAAAATAGTTTTATTATTTAAAAAGTGGAGATTAAAAATTTTAAATCTTTAATGTCTACAAACATTAGAGTTTGGATAATTCATTTTTTATGAAAACTATGAGCACACGATGTTGAAGGTAATGCTGAATTTGGATGCTATTTTTTGTCTTATCTGAAGAAATGGATGAATTTGGAATGAATTTGGCTTTATAGAGCATAATGATAAACACACACACACCACAAATGTTGTCGACATTAATGTTGAAAAGTCCAACTTGCGCAAAACATCAAAAAAAAATCATTTGTAGAAGTGGACTTGACTGAGAAATTAATGGGATCCTGTTTGTCATCATCCCTTTAAAGATATTATTGAGGATGCAAGACTTATCTTAAACAGGAATTGGCATGTCACTTATCAGCATGCGTATCGGGATAAGAATTGGATGGCTAACTATTTAGCGAAATACTCCTTTTCATCAAGAGGCGGAAGTTGACGAGGGAGCTTAGTTTTTATTTTAATATTCTCTTGTTTAGGCTTTTGTAGAGACTTTTCTTTGCATTCAGCTTGTAATTCAGGGGGAAAAAAAGGATCTAGTCTGCGTGCTCGGTGGTGCGCTCATCACTTAAACGTGGCGTTTAACTTACTTCCCTCAACATTTGCTCAACCAGTTTTCAATGCTCATCATCTTAAATTAATTATTTGATTTGAATTGCCCAGAATTAAAATATTTAATTAATTATTTTTAAATAGAAAAATCTATTTTTTGAAAAAATGATAGTTAATGGGTTATCTTTATTTTAGATTCTATACATATTAAAATAACTATTTTAAACAAATGAAAATAAAAAAAGAAATCAAATATAGATCATTGAAATGAGATATGGATGATGTAGATTTGATGAGTTTACAGTGCTCATCAAAGTAAAACTGAAACTGGTTCCGAAATTAATGCTACCTCCAGTACTTAATATAAGAGTTAGTTATACATTTAGTTTGATCATAAATAGAAAACTTTAATTTATTTTGTCTCTCATTTATTCATTTTTTTCAAAGCAGTCCTTATAGTAGTTGTACTTACACATATTAAAGATTCATCAAATGATAGTTCTATCATAATGATAGTTCTATCTAATCTACTAGTTTTTATATTAAGGAATATCAAAAGTAGTATAATAATATTGACTATGGATTTTGGATCCGGAACATTTGGTGCAATTTCGTATTATTCTTTGTATTCCAAGAGGGGGGATTTTTATTTTTTGAAAAGAGAAAACTTACAAGTGTTGTGTGAGAGAGAATGTGAAGAAAATGTAGAAACAACTGCAAATTACACATGCCGGATGTTGACAAAATACACTCAGTCTCATCAAAACATCTTATAGATTACGTGTGGAAAGCGACGAAGACCAATGTTGAAGCCTTAAAGGTCGTGATGAGCTCTCACCGAATGCTGAATTTGGATGCTATTTTTGGTCTTATCTGAAGAAATGGATGAGTTTGGAATGAATTTGGCTTTGTTTACGCGTGGGAAGCGACGAAGACCAAAATTTTTCCGATTACATTTTTTTTTCCCATTACAGGACGAAGACAAAATGCTAGATTCATTGCACACTGACAATTCATATTCATTAATAATTATAAAATTCAAAATCAAGACAGCTCATTTTTCATTTTCACGGAGAATGAGACCAAAAAAAAAAATTGAAAATTGCAGGTTTATTTGATTTCTTGTTTTGAAAATAATTTTTTATTAAAAAAATTTGTTTGGTAAGTTTTCTAGGTCGTTTAATAATAATAATGATATGTTTTTAAAAATTAAAAAATCAAAATCATTTTTAGATGATGTTTTCTTGTTTTTGTTTTTACATTTTTTTATTTTAAGAAATTAGGAAAATTTTCTTCTCGTCTCAACCACCGCCGGCCATATATCGCTGTTGGCGACGCCACCACCCGATTTTTTTTGTTTCAGATATAATTTATTAAAAAAAAGCTCCAATAATTGAAGCATGAAACAAGAAAGAACAACGTCGTCATTTTAATTAAAAAAAAAAAAACCAACATCACAGTTACAATCAAATATAAATACCTAAACAGATCTTTACTTGAACAAAACTATTTCAACTACAGTTATGGAATATATAATCCCATAACTGTTATCTTGAATAAATAAGTTTTTATCATCATTTATTACAGGCAAAATTTCACCACTGATGCGATCTATATTGCATAAATCTAAACGTGGGTATCTAATTTTTTTGTCATTAATTTATTGCAGTAGGAGACCAATATTATCTGATGCATATCATGACTAAAATCTTTCATATTTGGGCCTCTTATTCATTTAAACCAGCTGCTTTTCTATGCCAATATCAGCTCTATTTGAGTGAGCGTTTGAGTACTGGTTAAGTAGCTTTTGAAAGCATAAGCACGATTGGCTTCTCAATAGGATGTTTGGTTTAGTGTTTGTCCAATCTCACTTTTGATCTAAAGTTGCAATTTTTAAGCCCGATTGAAGAAGCAGGATCCTCCTGCTTATAGCTTATGAAATTGTGCTTTTAAGGCGACTCTGGGAGCACTGATCATCGTCTTCATCATGTTGGGAAAGGAAGAGTTCGCTGACTGGAACTTCTTCTTGTGTTGGTGGCCGATGAGATTGGTTGGGTAGTGTTCACGACGCGTAGGGAACACAGATCTAAGAACTAGTGAGCACGAGTTTAGAGAGATGAAGAAGTCAATGACCGCTGTATTGACGATGTTTAGTCATCGAGCCAGAAGAAGAGAGGAGTTCCACTAATGTTTGGATGGAGTGAAAAGCGACATTTGTTGGGTATTGAAGCTTTAATCAAAGGGGGCATCATTCTACTCCATTTTTTTCTTCCATCCAACTGTGCAGCTAAATGAGAGGGAACATCATGTAGTCTATTCTTTTTTCATCCAAAGGAACTTGTCAGTGGATATTGAACGTTGTCTTCACTATACTATAATTTTTAATTTAAATATGTTTTATTTATTAAATTTAAAGTTAACTTTTTCCTATTAAAATAATTTAATATTATTATATTATGTAACGTGATAATTCTTTTTCATTTTTTATTATTGAATAAAAGCCATACCTATTTTGGTAATTTTACAAGCTAAACTTACTTATTTAATCACAATCCAAATGACTTCTACTTTAACCAATCTAGCTTTTTCAAAAACCAATCCAAACATAAATTACATTAACCAATTACCGATATAATTTTTACCCAATCTAACTTTTTCAGAAGCCAAATTAATTTTTTTTTTTATTGCTAATCCATACAGGCACATCATGGTCTTGAGCAATTGCTAAAGCAAAAACCTGAGAAAGACAATGAAATAATTGCTACTCAGTTGACAAAACGATATAAACATCTTAAAAACAAGTTCTAATCATTCACCAACATGAATTAAAAATTAATCTTTTTATTTTTTCAAGTAGTAACTTAGAGGTTTTTTTTCCCTTTAAAAAAAAAAAAGGAATCAAGACATTTTACTTATAAAGAAACTCTCATATCACTAGATTACGAGGACATTAACTAATACTTTAGTTTTTGGTTTTGATCATCACATCTTTAATCATTTTTGCCAAATTGATGTAAGAAGAACCACCAGCTCTTGTGTCCTCCTCAGCAATTTTCTTCCACTCTAAAGTCTTTTGTCTCATCTTCTTCCCTCTCTCTCCTTCGATCAACTCATTCACAAGCTTCTCCACTTCTTCTCTCTTCACATCATTATCAATCTCAACCCCAATTTCCCAATTTTGGCATGCATACTTACAGTTCGTTTGTTGATCTGCAAAGAAAGGCCAACATGCCATAGGAACTCCTGCACAAATACTTTCTGTCATGGAATTCCATCCACAATGAGTCAAGAATCCTCCAATTGAAGGGTGGTTCAAAACTTTTTCTTGTTCACACCAATTTGCTATAAGGCCTCTATCTTGAATCTCACTCAGAAACTCAGATGATAGAATCAGTGAACCACCATTCACAAGATCAGGCCTTATGATCCACAAGAAGGCTTTCTTGCTGTTGGCCAAGCCCCAGGCAAACTCATTTAGTTTTTCTGGAGGCATGACTGTGATGCTTCCGAAATTGACATAAACCACGGATCTAGGCTGCTTGAGTTCTAGCCAATCAAGACACAGTGTCTCTTCTTTCCAAAGACTAGACTTCAAAGATAGCAACTGGTTGTTCCGTTGAATTTGGCTTAGAAATGCAGGGAAAGGGCCTATGGTGTAAAGAGGAAAGGAGAAAATGGTGGAAAGAGCTCTCATTGCCTCCCCTTCAATCTCGTCAAATGTGTTGAAACAAATGGCGGAGGCTTTCTGAGCCTTCTCCATTGATATAATGCTAAATTGCAAATAGAAATCATTTATATCTGTAGTCCTCAAAAAGGTAGGGAGATCCTTCAACTTGATATTTCTCATTCCTGGAATCCAGTCTATTTCCTTCTCCAAGTACCCATTTGTCAGATAGCTCTCATCTACACATTAAAGTCACCAAATATAATCAGACATTGAAGCACGAAACACACAAAACGTTGAGCACAATATAGTGTAGGTGTATATTACCTTTGAGAGGTATAATCCCTCTGTCAAGTAGATTTTGATAGTGCAAAATACCCAACAATGAATAAGCACTAGCAGGCCAAAGTAGAATAATGCGCAGTCCAAGTGCTTCAGCAACATCAACGGTGAAGTACATGGCAACATCAGAAACCAAGCAAGTGATTGGGGGTATAAGGCCTTTAGAAGCAGAATCATTGAGTCTTCCAAGAAGGTTTTGAAAGGGAAGGATACAATTCTTTATTATAGAGACACCAAGAGAGGGTAAGTCCTGAGAGGCGTTTTCATCCTCAGCAGGAGGAAGACCATCTGGAATGGTTTCGAATCGAAAATCTGGGAGGCCATCAAGGCTTTTGAAACTTCCAGATTTGAGCAAGCGTTTATGGTTGAACTCAGTGTTGATAAAAGTTATGAAGAAGCCTTTAAGATGAAGCAGCTTCGCTAGTTTCAGCACTGAGTTGATATGACCTTGAACTGGAAATGGAATCAACACAGCATGTGGTTTTGACTCCATTATTGTTTCTGTGTTTTCGCGTGTGTGAAGAACCAGTAAGAACTATGAAGTTTTACAAAGCAAAATGATGTGTGTGTGTGTGTGTGTGAAATGGGAGCCATGTGCTGTGGTCCAATTAATTATTAATACTGACAATTTTGTTGTGAAATGCAAGTTGCACTGAATTAATGAATAGCACCTAAGAGATGAGCGGTTCACATATCGATTCAAACTTAGTGATGAGCATCGATGAGTAGCTGAGAATTCAATGTCGTATTTGATCATTTTTTGAGACCGTTGTGGGCTTGGCAGGGTAGATGAGGCGTTTGGAATGAGTTGGGATTTTGGTTTGATTTTTCAAAGCTAACGAGAATCACAAGGGGCGGCGTACGTGGACTTCCTGAGGAATCTGCCATATTCTTTTAACGAAGAAGAAAAAATTGCTAAAACAAATTTTTTTCCCTACAAAATACTACATCCAGTTCTAATTATAAGACCTCGTTTATAGTCTAAAAACAGGATCTTATAATTAAAACCGAAGGTAGTACATTGCATAAGTTGCGCGTGCCTAAAAACCCGTGTCTTTAGATATATTTGACTGATAAATTTTGTGACGGGAGATTTTTCAACAATTTTTCCTTCAATTTTTTTAACAATACATTGTCCAAATAAATTTTATTAAAAAAATAGTTTGAACTATATATAACTAGTTCTCAAACACATCATATCATAAAGCAAAAAAAAAAATGCTTGCATGTTCATTATTATTTTTAATTTGGACAATTTTTTTTTTGGTTACAAAAATTTAAGTGAGTTGAGTCCCGGGAACTCACCAGGGTCAGGGCATGCCTCCAGGCTCAGAGAGTACTTATAGAGATACTTACAGATCGCTCACCAACAAGGTCCTCATATCAGCAGTGGGATTCAAACTCATAACCTTGTGGTTATGAGCCGACTCCTTATCAAGTGAAATAATTTTTTGTTGGTTAATTTGGACAAGTTAATCCTTGAGGAGCGTAAACCCACGCACCTATCACACACAACAACCCTATTTTTGGGTAGAGTAAGCCCATACACCCATCACACACAACAACCCGATTTTGGTTAGGGTAAGCCCACACACCAATCATTTTTTGAGACCGTTGTGGGCTTGGCAGGGTAGATGAGGAGTTTGGAATGAGTTTGGATTTTGGTTTGATTTTTCAAAGCTAATGAGAATCACAGGGGCGGCGTACGTGGACTTCCCAAGGAATCTGCCATATTCTTTTGAAGAAGAAGAAGAAAATTGCTAAAACAAATTTTTTTTCCTTACAAAATACTACCTCTAGTTATAATTATAAAACCTCATTTACAATTTACAAACAGGATTTTATAATTAAGACTAGAGGTAATATGTTGCATGCATAGAAAAGTTGCACGTGCTTAAAAACCCCGGTCTTTAGATGTATTCGAGTGATAAATTTTGTAACGGGAGATTTTTCAACAATTTTTTCTTCAATTTTTTTAACAATACATTGTCCAAATAAATTTTATTAAAAAGATATTTTGAACTATATATAACTAGTTCTCAAACACATCATATCATAAAGCAAAAAAATATGCTTGCATGTTTATTAATATTATTTTATTTGGGCAAGTTTTTTTTTTTTGTTGCCCACCCAGTTCACCGGAGCTTTGCTCCGACTACATCTGGATCCGACCCGCGTCACGCACCTGGCTGTGGTGGATGAGTCTCCCAACAGGGATTTCTGCATATGCATGAGGCTCGAACTCAAGATCTCACTTAAATGGTACCAAGCCGCTTACCACTTGAACCAACTCCTGTTGGTATTTTATTTGGGCAAGTTAATGCTTGAGGAGAGTAAACCCACGCACCCATCACACACAACAACCCTATTTTTGGCTGGAGCTAGCCCATACACCCATCACACACAACAACCCCATTTTTGGCCCATACACCCATCACACACAACAACCCTACTTTGGTCAGAGTAAGCAAGCCCACACACCCATCACACACAGCAACCCTATTTTGGCTACTTGAAATATAGAACTTGCAACCTTTTTGTAATAAGATGAAGTGTGGGGTGCCATTTAGAATTCGTTTGGTACTAGAAAAAAAAATGAGAGAAGGGGAGGGGAGGAAAAATTTTGATAAGCTCTATTTAAAAAATTTAAAAAAAAAGGTTAAAAACTTTTAATTAATTTTTATTATTCTTTTATATTACTTCTTCTCTTTATTAAAATTTCAAAACTTCACTTCTCCAATTTTTTAAATAGAACTTATTACAATTTTTCTTCCCCTCCTCTTCCCTCTATTTTCCTCATACCAAATAGTACCTTAAGCTATAAATTCTTGATCTCAAAAGTTTTATCTTGCTCAACTAAGTCCATATAAGTTTTGGTCCTGTGAATGGCACAATTTGGTTAGCTTCCAAATAAACAAAACGGCTCTCACCGGCAGCTTGATCTTTCAAATTATATTAATGCTTCTTCTATAGGATGCCATATTGGGCAATATGCTCTCCATGACTTCATCTTATAAGAAGAGCTCATTTTTTGATTAATTAACGACCGTCATTGATGAATAGCTGAACATACAAACCTAACTTCTTCCTTTTTTTTTGTTTTTATGTATTTTCATTCTTTAAAGAGGGACATTTTGGTCATTTAACAACATTTTAAAGAAAATCTCTAATTAAGTCTCACATCCTAGTTAGAAATTTATTAAAAATATAGGCCTGAATTTGAATTTAGATGTTTCAATTGGATTTAATTGAGATTCTATCAGTTATATATGTGATTATAATACAATAGGAATGAAAGCTGACAAAATAAGTGAACAAGTGTGTGTGTGTGTGTGAAGAATATATTTAGATCAGAGATCGATGACGATTTTGTTGGATTACTCCGACTTGCACCGCTGAAGAAGTTCAGATTTTAGAATGCATTATTTGGCTTATGTGTTTGGGTACTCGAAACTTGTACCAATGATAGAAAATGTTTGATTATTAGTTTAAGTTTTGCAATATATATAAATATATATGTGTGATTCCTTAGCTTTTGCTGCCCACTGTGAGACAGGATTCTTATTTTGTTTGTCTTCACATTCTATTCTCTACATTACTTTTTAATTTCTGCCCCCATCTGCAATTGAAAAATAAGAAAATTAAAGTAGATAAATTATTAATGGATTCTCAAATTTACAATAATGTAGTAGTTGATTAGGAGGTAGTTCAGATGACAATAGTGAGATTAGGTGCGGGTAATAATGAAGGATTCAATTCTGATAATGGCAAGATAAAGAATCCCTCATAATATAACCAAAAGAAATTTATAAAGAAGCAAGAATTAATTATCGAAATTACCCCAAAATTTATTTTTGAAAGAATGATATGTAAATCTCTCGCGACGGAAATATTAATATTTTAATTTCTACCTCATTAAAAAATGTTATTGATACAATATACGCCTTCAGGTCATGTCTATAAAACACTTATAGAAGGAATTTTGTTGTCCTTTTTATAAGGTATTATATTAATTATTTATTAATTTTTTCTTTTTGCCTCATTTCATAGTAAAGTATGAGACTTTTTGAAAAATATATTCATAGGTGCAAATTAAAAGGTTATTTAACTTTTACACATGAGTTAATAAATTTTAAAATATATCAGAAATTTTCTTTCTTTTTTTCTTTTGCTGCTCAAGCATATCCTCTTAAAGGAATAATCCTATTCAAAATACTATTGAGTATTAAATGTGAACACTTCTTTAAATAGAAATTTGTACTTTGGCTCGCTGTATCGCAAGAAATTAGCCTCTTTCCAAACTAGCCCTGTAGTAACCCACACCGTCGAACTCAACTCTCGTTGTTTTTAAAATTTTTCTTATTCACACTAAACAACCCAAATATCATTCTCCCTTTAAGTTTTTTTGCCTACCAATGCCGTCTCTATTGCGTAAATATTTGTACGAGATTTTGGAACGAATTTAATGAGATGGACTGCTATTTAATAATAGTTTTGCTTAATATTTCTCCTAAATTTAAAATTACATACTGTTGGCAAAAAAATAAATTTAAAATTACATTCAAATATAGAGGAGAAAACGTAACAAGGTTTTACTTTTTATATTAATGTGAACAATTTCATCTCGATATTCAGATAATGCTTGCTAATTAAAAATATGCTGAAAATTGTATGTTACCACTTAATATCATCTCAAATGATTTTAAAGTGAAAAATACAATCCGGTGAGAGTATTAAAATTTATTATTGTCAAATCTTTTTTAAAAATTACGTATATGATACCACAAAATCTATTTTATCCAAATAGAATACAAATTTGTGTACTGTTTTAATGAAATTATATTTTGCAAACATAACTCGGAAATTAAAATAAAAACAAAAGTGAAGAAGAAAAAGAAACAGAAACACATCACATAAAATAAAACTAAAGTAAAGAACCCAAAAAATAGGTTAGTAAAAGTTCTAATAAAAAATAGATAAGAAGAAAATAAAAATTGAATAATTGAATAAAATAACAAAAACGATAAATGCGTGGACTTGATGCATTTAAAGTAAATTATTAACTAGCATAATGAATACACGTATGAGATTAATTAATTTATTATATTGGGGTGGTTCAATTCAACAGTTCAAGATCAAATGGGACATAATATCAAAATTTTATGTTATTATATATAAAAATAATAGAATAATATAACATATAAATTCAAAAATTGTGCGAAACTGAAAATACATTTGATCTTAATTATAAGATTCTATTTGTAAACTATAAATAAGATCTTATAATTAGGATCAGAGATAGTAAATTTTTATGTACAGAAAGTATCAATATTCTGGAATGTTTTACTATTCTGTGTGGTTTATTTTTCAACTGCGTGTAAAATGAATTTTGCCCATAACTAAAAATATACTCCTCCGGTCTTTAATATAGGATCCAATTGTTGAGTTAGTTTTGGTCTTAAATATAAGACTCATTTCTCATATTTATCAATTTCTCTAAATTACCTTATGGATCTCCCTCAATCATAATCAAGTAGAAAAGGAAAGAGAAGAGAGGTATAAGAAAGTTGATTATGGTATTTAGGAAAAATGTATCACATTTTTTATAATAAAACTAACTACCTCTTTCTTAATTAATCAAATTAGTTAAATGGGTCTTATATTAAGGATTGGAGGAGTATTAAGCAAATGATGACATGTATGAACAAATTTTCAACAACAAAAACTGTCAGCAGCCGTAATATTCCAACGATGTTTACCAAAAGAATGTTAAAACAATGTTCTTAATATAAAAGCTAATTAAATATTTAATTTAATCTGACTCAAATTCATTCTGTATTTTTATTTATCTAATTTTTTTCAAAAACAATCCTTATAGTAGTTAAACACTTGTTAAAGGTTTCATTAAATAGCAATTCCAATACAGCAATACACATGTTTAGTAAGATAGTATTTTAAGAAAGATAAAATTATTTATTCAACAACTTAAATTAAATTTTCTCAATATCTGTTTAGATTGTCTTTTTCACCTCCATGTTTAATTTACAGAACCTTATCATAGGAACGGCCATAAACCAGAAACATCAGAATCTACAAATACAAAACCAACAGTTCCAAGCCTTTTTCATCTACTAAAACAATCCAAATACATGATACAATCATCACAAATCAGTTGATCAAAGAATATACACGCAAATTATAAAGCTATATTTTTTATTTTGTTCAAACATCATAAAAAAGGAGAGTTCCAATAGAGCAGCAAAAAAAAAAAAAAAATCATTTAAGGTTTTCTTAGACTTAATTTTTCATTTTGATAAGCACATCTTTTATTACTTTTCCAATTGTTGTAGGAAGAACCACCAGGTCTCGTGTCCTCCTCGACAATTTTCCTCCATTGTAAAGTCTTCCGTCTCATCGTCTTCCCTTGCTCTCCTTCCATCAAGTTGTTCACAAGCTTCTCAACCTCTTCTCTCTTCACATTTGTATCAATTTCAACTCCAATTCCCCAGTCTTGGCATGCATATTTACAATTTGTTTGTTGATCTGCAAAGAAAGGCCAACATGCCATAGGAACTCCTGCACATATACTCTCTGTCACAGAGTTCCACCCACAATGTGTCAAGAACACTCCAACTGAAGGATGGTTCAAAACTTTCTCTTGTTCACACCAACTGCTATGAGACCGACCTATCTTTAATCTCAGTTAGAAAGTCAGATGATAATATCACAGAACCACCATTAACTAGGTCAGGGCCTTATGATCCATAGGAAGGGCTTTTTGCTATTGGCTAAACCCCAAGCAAACTCGTACAATTGTTCTGCAGACATAACTGGATACTTCCAAAATTCACATAAACGACAGATCTGGTTCCCTTGAGTTCTAGCCAATCAAGGCATTCGGTCTCCTCTTTCCAAAGACTAGATTTCAAAGATGACAATTGGTTGTTTTGTTGAATTTGGCTTAGTAGAAAGGCTGGAAAAAGGCCTATGTGTAAACAGGAATGGAATAAATGGAGGAAAGAGCTTTTATGCATCACATTTCAAGCTCATCAAATGTGTTGAAACAAATAGCAGAGGCTTTATGAGCTTTTTTCACCATTTCAATAAGAAAATGAAACATTAGATCATTTGGATCTGTCGTCCTCACAAAGGTAGGGAGATCTTTTAACTTAATATTTCTCATACCTGGAATCCAATTTATTTCTTCCTCCAAGTACCCATTTGTCAAAGAGCTCTCGTCTGCACAATAGAATCAACAAAGGATGAGCCCTTAAAGCATCAAACATAAAGAACATTAAGACATGAATTACATGAAGAAACATAGTATAATACCTTTGAGTGGTACAACCCCTCTATCGAGTAGATTTTGATAGTGCGCAAAACCCAACAATGAACAAGCACTAGCAGGCCAAAGAAGAACAATAGGGAGTCCAAGTGCTTCAGCAGCATCAACAGTGAAGAACATGACAACATCAGAAACCAAGCAAGTGACTGGAGGGATTAGGCCATTAGAGGCAGATTCACTAAGTCTCCCAAGAAGCCTTTGAAAGGGAAGGAGACAATTCTTTCTGGTGGAATCACAAAGAGAGGATACATCCTGGGAGGCATTATCATCAGTAGGAGGAGGAAGACCATCTGGGATGGTTTCAAATCGAAAATCTGAGAGGCCATCATCAAGGCTTTTAACACCTCTTGATCTAAGCAAACGCTTATGGTTGAACTCAGTGTTCACGAAGGTTATGAAAAAGCCTCGAACATGAAGGAGCTTTGCTAGCTTGAACAATGAATTGATATGGCCTTGAAGAGGCAATGGGGTCAACACAGCATGCGGTTTCGGTCCATCTCTGGCAACAGAACCCATGCTGTATTTCAAACCTCTCTCTCTTTCTCTGTTTCGTGTGTGAAGCTTTAGACTTTAGTTGGCGATTAAACAGGTAAACAAATGTGAATTTTCATAAAGCAAAATCATATTATTATGGGAAAATTTCACTGTAGGACCGCAGAAGACAATTAATCTCAAAGAGCCCTCAAAACTTTCTGAAACTTCACTGCAGGACCAAAGGGCTAATTTGATATTAATTCCACAAACGAAATGATGCCACTGCCCCTAGTAGAAACTTATTTCCTTGAGGGAACAAGTGCGGAGAGCGCATTTGCAAGGGAAACTAGCCATTTGCAGAATAAATACATATATTCACACGTGGAATCAGTCCATTCACATGTGGACTGGTTCAACTGAAGCTGTGTCCGTGAGTGAACAAGTGCGGGAGAGCGCATTTGCAAGGGGAACTAGCCAATTTGCAGAATAAATACATATATTCACACGTGGAATCAGTCCGTTCACATGTGGACTGGTTCACCTGATGCTAAGGGTAGTGGCGTCATTTCATTTGTGGAATTAATATCAGATTGGCCCCTTGGTCCTACAGTGAGGTTTCAGAAAGTTTTGGAGGCTTTTTGAGATTAATTGTCTTGTGCGGTCCTACAGTGAAATTTTCCCTATTATATATATAGATCAGAGATCGGACATGTGAGCTCTGTTGAAAATTTTGTCGTATACTCCAACTTGCACTGAAATATTATTTGGCCTATGGGTGTGAGCGCTCGAAACTTGTGCCAACGACAGAAACTGTTTCATTAGTACACGACAGCTTTTGTTGCTGTCTGTGCGATAGGCTTGCCGTCTGTGGGATAGGATTCTTATTTAATTTGTTTGTCTTCATATTCCATTGTCTACGTTACTTTTAATTTCTGCCTCCATCTGCAATTGAGAAAGAAGAAGGTTAAAGTAGATAAATTGTTCATGGATTCTCAAATTTACAATAATGTAGCAGTTAATTAGAAGGTAATTCAGATGATAATATTAATATAGTGAGATTAGGTGTGGGTAATACTGAAGGATTCTATTCTGATAATGGCGAGATAAAGAATCCCTCATAATATATAACTAAAAGAAATTTACAAAGAAGCAAGAATTAACGACTGAAATAGTGAAATTACCTCAAAATTTATTTTTGGAAGAATGATACTACCTCCATTCCTAATTATAATGACAAACGAAATCTTATAATTAGAATTGAAGGTAGTATATATAAATATCTCATAAAAGTTTAGTCTTGATACTCCTCCAGTCCTATTTGTAAGTTTCAAATTTAGATAGGAATATGGTCTATTTTATAAGTTTCAATTTAAAATTTGCCTAACATTTAATTTATTTTTTTCAATTTTACTTTTAATTATTTATTCTCTCTCTGTCACACTCTCACTCTCTCTATTACATTTCTCCATACTTTTTTTTCTTTTTTTATTTATTATAAAGGCATATTAGAAAATAAAAATATATTTCTAACATATTTATTACTTTTAACTAATTATTGTTACCCGTGAATTAGTTATTTGAAGCTCATAATAAGAATAAGAGGGAGTCCTTATAAGTGGGAGTTTATCTTTTATAAAATATTATTGATTAATTATTATAATTATTTAAAAATGGAAATCTGAAGAAAATAGCAAAAACGATAAATGTGTGGGTTTGGAGCATTTAAAGTAAATTGTTAAATATCATGAAAAAATGGATGAGTGAGTTTAATTAAGGTGATTATATTGGGTGGGCTCAAAAGATCGAGATTACGTGGGAACATAATATCAAAAATTTTTTGTCATTGTATATGAAAATAATAGAATACTATAATATAAAAATGAAAAAAATTGTCTGGTCAAAAAAAAAAAATGGTGCGCATTTCCCATCCCGTGTATGATTATTGTGGGTGGCGGAGCCATTAAGGCATTAACAACACATTTTTGTCGCTTTTCTATTAACGGAGATTAATGCAAAGAAAATAATGCGAACTCTTTTTGGAAAAAAATTAGTAAATAGAACATGATAAATTTTCGTACTTAAAAAAATGTATTTTGAAAATGTTTTATATCGGTATTTTGATTTAGGTTATTTTCATTAATAAATTTTTTTATGAATGTTTTTTCAATTTATGAGAAAGAATGATATATGTAAATCTCTCATGAGAGAAATGTTAATATTTTTTCATGTCTACTTCATTAAAAAAAAAAAAAGAGTTATTAATACAGTATACTAATTTAGTCTTATCCGATATCCTACATCTTATTTATAAGTTTTCAATTTAGAGGGGGATATGGTGCATTTTATAAGTTTCAATTTAAAATTTGTCTTAATATTTAATGTATTTTGTTAATTTTACCTTTAATTATTTATTCTCTTTCTGTCATGCTTTCACTTTCTCTATCACATTTTCCCATACATTATTTTCTTTTTCTTTTTCATTTATTATAAAGACATATTTAAAAATAAAAGTATATTTTTAACATATTTATTGTTTTAACTAATTTTAACTAATTATTTGTTACCCGTGAATTAGTTATTTGAGACTTACTCCCTCCGTTCCTTATTATAAGAGACAAATAACAAAATTACGTTGATAAAAAAAAACAGTTAAAATTAGTTGAGGACAATTAATGTGTAAAAAGTATAATGTTTTTTCCAACAATGCCCCCATTAATAAGGAGAGAAAGTATGAGAGAGAATAATTAAATTATTAAAAGAAAGAGAAGTGGGAGGGAGAGAATGTGTGAGTTGGAGACAAAATAAATAGGGGTAAAATAAAAAATCAATACAAAAAAATAGAGATAACTTTTAAGTGTCTCTTATATATAGGAACATGCTATAAACATCAAATGTCTCTTATAATAAGGAACGGATGGAGTATAATAAAGACCAGAGTACTTATAAAAAGGAGCTTATCTTTTATAAAATATTATCGATGAATTGTTATAATTATTAAAAAAATGAAAATCTGAAGAAAATAACAAAAACGATAAATGAGTGGGTTTGGAGCATTTAAAGTAAATTGTTCAATATCATAAAAAAATGCATGAGGGAGTTTAATTAAGTTGATTATATTGGGTGGGTTCAAAAGATCAAGATTACGTGGGGACATAATATCAAAATATTTTTGTCATTATAAAAATTAAAAAAATTGTCTGGTCAAAGAAAAATAAAAAATTGTGCGCATTTCCCATCCCATATATGATTATTTTTGGGGGGCGGAGCCATTAACAACACATTTTTGTTGCTTTCCTATTAACGGCGATTATTGCAAAGAAAATAATGCAAACTCTTTTTGGAAAAAATTAGGAAAAAAATCCAATTAAAAATTTTATTAGCCCATAGAATATGATAAATTTTTATACGTAAAAAAATGTATTTTGAAAATGTTGTGCATCGCTATTTTGATTTAGGTCATTTTTATTAATAACATTTTTGATGAATTTTGTTTCCAATTTATGATCAGAAGGTACTCCCCTCTGATCCTCAAGAAAAATATAATTTATAAACATAATTTAGGGTTTAATTAAAAAAAGTGAAGAACTGATAAAGTCAAAGAAAAACATTGTATTACATTCGATTCTTAATATAAAATTTTGATAATTATTTAAAAAGATTAAAAAAATTAGTTAAATTAGTTGTTTGAAACAAATGTGTGTTGACTTTTTTAGATTATACTTATTTAATCATGTAAATTAAACTTATACTTGGTTGGAAATACTTTACAATCAAGAAGGATATTTTTGAGAATACATTACAAATTTAAAAGATAAAATGAATTGAGATCTTATATTTACGACTGTCAACTATTTTTTATATTTAAGACTAGAGGTGATATAGGTCATTTGTTCCCCTGTTTTTAACACTGCAAAGACACTAGTGCGCCGCGTTGCTTCTTTTTTAAAAAAAAAAAACAAAATAAACAAAAACTAAGTCCGGCACCCCGGTACACAACATAAAAATCAATCAACTAACTTAAAAAAATTAAAAAATATATACTAAATTATTTTAAAATGTTTTAATTTATTATTTTTTAAAATAATTTATCGAACTTATAGATTAATATATAATTTATTAATATACATTATAGTTATAAAAAAACTAATATAACTTATGTTATAATTAAATAATTTAGTAATTTAGTAATTTTGTGTCCTGTTTACTTTAGTCTTATATTATATTAGCCGGGCTTTACATCTCAATCCAGATTAATCTTTCCCGCAGTTTACATGCTTTGAGATAACTATGGTTGTATTCCCCAAATTTTTTTTTTTAAAAAAACATTTTAATTGTGTCTGGCATCACAAAAAAAAAAATTCAATATTAAGTCAGCAAATGATGTATACATTTGATTGAAGATACAAAGAGATGAGCAGAAAACAAAAATAAATACTCCTCCAGTCTTAAATATAATATCAACCAGACTAAACTAGCTAAAAATATACAACGACATAAAACAGAACAAAAATAAATAGCCTAACTTGCCAATACCAAGCAAGGGACATGCATCCAACTTTCTTGAAAATCCTCTTGAGAAAGACATTATAATTTCTCAGTTCTTTTATATTGAAAATCTAAAAGAGTTATTATTCTCTTGTATCTTCTCTGCGATGATTTGACGAGTACAAGTTCTTGCATCTGGAATTAAACCACACAGATTTAACAAGCCCTTCTAACCTGCATTGCAAAACTCTCTCATCAGTCACTATAGAACCAACATAATAACATCTATTCCACAAAAACAAATGTCTGATACTTTGTTTATAGAAACTACTTACTAATTGAAATAACTCGAAAGCCTACGTGCTATAATTGAAGCAAAAGCACTAATCTTAGTAATGATCCTGGGGATGACATTTTAATTGATATTGCCCAAAAGAGACAGATCAGATATAAATTGATATAAATCAAATAAATCAAAGTTTCACAACCAAATCAAATAATGCAGAAGACAAAATTTTTGCTTCAAACGATTAAAAACTATAACAAAGATACATAAATATACCTGTGCTTAATCCCCATGAACTAGGTTCAGTCCCTCCGTTGTCCAAAGAGGGCATTGGTGGAGAGAAAAGACATTGTCCCAAAGGATGACTATCACCACAGTACTTTTATGGCCGACGTCGCCACTAGCTAAGAAGAAGAAGCCTCGGCAGATATAGTAAAAGGAATGAGCATTCCTCTGCAACCCGCTGGACTAACTTCTCAATTTTGAGTATCATGTTTATTCTTTTCGTGGATCATTAAAAAGCCTAATCTTAAACTATCTTGCACACATGAGATTCTCTAAAATTTTATCTTGCACACATGAGATTCTTTCCAAAGTACATAAGATCTCTTTAAAGAGATCCATGGCTTCACTGAGCTCATAATTTATTAGGTCAGATTTTAATCCACTTCAGACCAACTTTATGATATGGGAAGAATCTAATAAATTAAATTAGATATATAAATCAATGTGACATAGCTAACTTCCGTGAGATAAAATCCCTTTTCCAACAGAGCTTTCACAACCCCATTGATAAAGAAAAATTGTTTCATTAAGGTAGTCATCGTATCTGACTGACAGCCCATAGCAAGAAAGTTAAAGAAAGCAAAATCCATTTCACCCGCACGGAAGTAGTAGCTCATAAAGCTGTTCAGACCAACCAAGGCATGGCGTGAATCCCTCAGATCCTGCTGGCGTGAAAAGTGAAACAACAATAAGAGTGGGATAACATCTCATAGCAGCAATTGATCCTACAATCTCAGTAATTTGAACGGTAGAGGGTGGATGACGCATATGAAGCAAGCAATTAAACAAATAGACATAATCTTCAATGTTTCGAGGATTTATAAAATAAATAAAAAAGGAAGTTGGAGAAAACGACCGAAGACACAGAGAGGTGCAGAGCAAAGAAGATTTGACGGAGGCATACCTTGTACCGCCACGCGACAAGGTCATCGTCGAATCCGAGCTGCAAGCCAGGGACGAGAAGATCACATAAAACCCTAGCAATCCGAACTCAGCCGAATCACTTCTTCTACGCCCATATTTATTTAATTTGGGTCGGGCCTGCTGGCCTGGTGGACCATTGAAACGGCAAGTCATGTGGTAACATTAACATTTTGAAGCAGCACACTAATCTACATGCAAAAATCATTAAAAGTTAGTTAAATTGGTAAGGAATCAACTGATAACATATAAGATTATGAATTTAAATCTTGTTATTGATATGATGATCTTATTGATAGCGATCTATAAGTGCCTCTGTAATCACTTTCTGAGTTTAGAAGTCTATCCTAATTCTGATGAGCCTTTGAGACCCAACTCGTTTAAATTTTTATTGTACGAAAAAAAATCTACACACCTAAACTTTTATTGTACCAAAAAAAAAATCTACACACAAACGGTCCGTCGTTTTGATCTTCACAGAAATGCTTGGTTCCCTCGTTATGATTTCTCTGTTTAATTGTTGTATGGTGATAAATAAAACCTTGTGATTCTTCATTTGACCTATCTAATAAATTATAAAAATATTATTACAAGATTAATTAAACAAAAAATATATATGTAAGCAGTAGAAAATTAATATGCATATATTACTTCCATAGATTTTTATTAAAATATTTTATAATTTTTTTATCTTATGCTATCTAACTATAATAATATCATAGTATTTATCATGTATAAGCTAAAATTATTTTTATATATATTTATTATTTAATATTATACTATTGCTAAAATATATTAATTCTTAACCATTGGATATTAATCCAATGGTAAAAATAATAAATAGAGAGAAGTGGAAAGAAAACTAAATGGAAACATTCTTTTTCGTTAAAATTGGGAGAGGAATCTCTTCATTTATTAACTCGGATCAATATTAATACATTAATATTTAATCATTTAAATATCATTATTAATTTACGATTCCTACTGTGCAATTTATTCTCAACATATAAAGACTTACAAATCAATAATATATTCTCATATAGGCTCTTTAAGTTCTAAATATTGATTTAAAATTTTTCCTTTGATTTTCGAAAAATTATTTCTTGAAATTTTGCAAATTTTTTTCCATTTAAAAAAAATGAAGAGTGAATTTTTTTATGGAAAAGTCTTCCTTCAGAACTTATAAATTAAACTATAAAGGTATAAGAAAATCATTAATATTATAACTGCTGACACCAAGCCTTCAAAATATTTTGATGATAACAAAAACTAAATCTGTATGTGACTTGGACTTCTTGAGTTTATCTCAAACATGTTGGGCATAAAATGGCTCTGTCAAGTGTCAAGCCCGAAATTTTTTTTTTTTTTAAAAAAAAAGGTATTGATCTCACGGAAACTGAAAATAATGAAAACTCGCAGCAGAATCAAGCAAAGCACTCTCATGTGCTCTAGTGATAGCTCTTTTTATTGAATTATTGTTTGTGAAAATGAAAGAGGCAGAGAATAGGCATAGAAAAATGAAATGAGTAACAATGACTTTTTAGTCAGGTGGCATGAATACTTTCTTTACTAAAGAGAGGTTACAAGTTTGATATTGCCTATAACTTTAGTCAATTAGTGCATATTGCATACTCCTCTAAATTAAAAAAAGAAAAAGAAAAGAGTAGAAGAGATATAAGATAAAGGACAATATATTGGTTAAGTTTTTTGTGTTCATTGTATTAAATTCTCTAATCACACATGAGTACGTAGATTTTAAAGAAAAATAGGACACATGACCAAGACATGCAGGTTCCAACTTTCTTCAAAGTACTCTAAAAAAAAAATTTAAGTTTTCAGTTCTTTTATGTTGAAAATCTAAACTTTTTATGTCATTTCTTTTGTTTTCTCTGCACGAATTTGAGTACAAGTTCCTGCATCTGAAATTAAAATAAACAGATTTGATAGATACATGTAAATCAAAGATATATATCCAGATTTGATGACCAATATAAGAGTATGAGAACCTTGTTAAGGTTATGGGAAACAACCAAATCAAATAGTGCAAAAGACAAAATTTTTATTTTAGACGATCAAAAGCTAGAACAATGAGATACATAAATATACTTGTGCATAATCCTCTTGGAAGAGATTCAGTCACTATATTATTATATCCAAAGATTGCAAACCTGTTTGGGATTCTGTTTAGAAACACCTATATAAGTTTGTTTTATATAAGTCGAAATAAAACTTTTTTCACATGTTTATTTTTTATTTTGTAAATTACAATTAAAAAATTACTTATAAGTCATTTGGTGGAGAGACCATCACCCCAATAATCATAATCGCTTGTTTATGGCCCACAATATTGCCCACAATGACTAGGAAGAGGAATCCTCAACCGTTAATACAAACAAAAAGATAAAGAAATTCCTTTTCTCCCTTGATTTAAAATATTTCATCTCTATCTCCCCCCCCCCAACCACCAGAGCTTGATTTTCTAAATTTTAAATATATGAAAATTGCATTCTTCTTCATACATTTACACATTTGAGAGTTTATCTGTTTTTCATTTTAGCTACTATAAAACACTTGAATATTGTTTGAAAATAAACAGAATCCACGGCTTCTCAATGGTTTGTTCTCTTTCAACGAGTACGATTAAGGTTTCACAACTAACTTTATAGTTAAAATCTTTTTCCCATTGCATCTTCATGGAATTGTAAAACTTTCCCAACTTTATAATGAAAGGAAAGTCCTGTAGTCAAAATGATCGCATCTGACTGCTACAAGCCCATCTCGGGCATCTTCCCAGATGTAGAACATATGAGCAAAAGCCATTTCACCCACCCGGCAGCAATAAACAAAATAAAATCTTATCTTTGCAAATTGATCCAAAAATCTTAATTAATTTGTTCTGTAGATGGTGGAGGAGGAGGCAAACGATGATACAAAGTCTAAGAGGGAAGGCAAATGGGAAAGATGGAGCTAATTAAACAAAGGGAAATTAGGGAAGGCACAGTTTTAGCTCCACTTCTTCGCTGATCTGTTAAAAAATTTAGATCTCCAGAAAAATCCAAGTTACAAACCAGCTGAGACGAGAAGAATAACACAGAAAGCTCTGGAAATTTTCCGACTTGCCTGTTGGCAAAACTCTTGGCATGCAGATGTAAATATATATATTATCTCTGGTTCTAATTATAAAACCATAATATTTTATAATTAGGACCGGAGGTAGTATACAGGCTTTTCACGAAGCAACTCAACGAAAAGTCAGACTAGCAGAATTATTGGAAGGGTAGGTTCATTATTTTGTTCTGTTCACCCTTATGCCAATCTTATGATTAGGGTTGTTCATGAGACGGATCGGGACCACGACAAGTTTGTTTCGGTTCTGTCCCGATAAACAGTAACTAGACAACTTTGTTGTCCCGTGTCCTGTCCTGTCTCAGTGTCGTTCCAATCCCGGTTGGGATAGGACAGAACCGAGACGACCCAATTTAAATTTTTTTATTTTTATTTTATTTTTTTGAGTTGTTGGATACAATAAAATCTGATTTTTTTTTCTAATTATAGTTTTTTGAGTTTAGCCCTTATAAAAACATTTTTGTTTTCCTTTTTATTTCTTTGGGCACCCTTAAACAAAAGCCCAAAAATATCGTATATAATAGTCATTAAAAACTCTAAATAAAAATTTTGAACACAATAAAAACTTGTTGGAAATTCTAATAATCAATAGTCTCAAATCATCAACAAATATAAAAACTCTAAATAAATAGGTCTGTAGTTTCATACAATAGTATCAAATCTTCAAAAAAAAAAATTATATAAATATGAACAAAATAAAAAAATAAACGGGACTGGGCCGGGATGACCCTGTCTCGGTCCCTTTTTCTGTCCCGTCAAATTTTGTCCTGTTCTGAAAAATTTCTGGATGGGCCCACCCTGTCCCAATAAAACCGGGACCAGAACAGGCTGACAGGGACGGGCTGGTGTTGAACACCCCTACTTATGATGTTGATGGTATGTTATTGGTATTTTTTTCACTGTTTCAAAATTGACGGAATGTTAAATTGAAAATGCCAAAGCCTCTGTTTTTAAGGTTCAACTAATTGTATGTGTACTATGCATAGAATAAGTCTAATTGTTAATATGATCATTTCACATTATATGATATTTTCCATGAAATAACCTACAAATGGTTTGAAAGTACATCCGGTTTTTTTAAAAGTCGTTTGGGTTCCATGTCTAGTTCCGGGTTTCACTACAAAAGTAAGGCGACTTTAATCTAGCTTGAGCCAAGGATAAAAATGCCACAACTTCGGTTTGGTTGGATTTTTATTTTGATCTTAAATACAATACCTCAATTCATTATGTTTTTCATATTTATCTATTTTTAAGATAATTTTTGTAATAATGATAGTTTTAGTTAATACACTTGATTAGTCAGGATATTTTAAGAAAAACAACATCTATCTATTACAAGTAACTAACTTTAATTTTCTTAATCTACTCAAATTAGTCAACTAACTCTTTAAGAGTTACTTGTAATAGATAGATGTTGTTTTTCTTAAAATATCCTTACTAATCAAGTGTATTGGCTATAACTACTATTATTAGAAGGACTATTTTTTAAAAAATAAATAAATATAAGAGACAAAGTGGATTGAGATTTATATTTAAGATCAAAATAAAAGTTAAATAAGATCTTCTATTAAAGATTGAAGATAGTATTATGGACTGGAGGTAGTATTATTTAACTATAAGGCCTAACACAGTGAGTATCTAGTTGAATTCTCTAACTATTTAGTTAGAAATTTGATTTTTTTTTTTTTACTGTGTGTATGAAAAGGTTCCTTTAACTAGTACTAAAACCTCTTTGAAAAGTGTGGCGGATATCTTGAGCATAAAGTTGGCATGTGATGAGCGTAAAGCTGCCCACTAGTGAACGTCGTTTTATATGGGTGCCGTATAAGACTCTTAAAAGGGTTCGTCGTCCTCCTGTTCTTGTCGTTTTTCATCAGCTTCACGTCTACTTCGTTCATCAAAAGGTGAATAGGATATATGACTTGTCAAATCAAGTTAGTGTTATTTACACCACCCAAATTGATTGGAGGGGAGAGGGAAATTTTAGTAAATCTAATTTTTAAAAAAATGAGTAAATGGGTGAGGAAAATTAATTAACAGAAAAGACTCATCAACATTTTTGTTTTTGCCAACATGATTCATCAAAATAAATTAGTACTTGTTTGGGCTTATTAACTACTGTATGTAAAGTAAGGACATTCGTTAAAATTAGGGGGTGATAAAGAAGACTTCTATAATTTTCTAAAATATTTTAACTTTTTTTTTAAAAACATTTTTAACCTTTAACAGGTGAGATCGCTGAATGGTGATCAAGAAATGAGCTTTGTTGGTTATGAATATTTTCACAATCTTATAATTTTAATAAAAAAGAATTGTATGCTATCTGTTCAAATTAAGATAGGAAAAATTGTAATAAGGTCTAATCCAAGAGAATTAAATACAAAAAGATCATTTGAAATTATCAAATTATTTTGAAGTCCTAAAAAACCTTATTGCAAGAGATTTTATTTGTTTAATTATCAAAATACTTTTTTTTTAAAGTATGCATTGACAATTAAAAGAGCAATAGTTAATAGCTTAAAGTGTAACGACTAACAATTATCACAGCAAGTATTAATAACACATTTGCTCAGTGTATCATAAAAATATAATATATGAGTTGTCAATATCTGTCGCAATAGTTTTTAATCATTACCCTTTAAGTTGTTAATGACTGTATTTTGAGTTGTCAATGCATATACCTTAAAAAAAAGATAAAGGTAATTTTGTAATTAAATAAATAGAATCTTTTACAATGAGGTCTTTTGGGATTTTAAATTAATTTAATAATTTCAAGAGACCTTTGTGTATTTAATTCTTTTAAGTGGGATTTTATTGTAATTTTGCCAGTAAGATATGTAATTTCTCTTGTATAAGATTAAGTACTTAAATCGATAAAGGGGGCAAATGGAATTTGGGGCTACCAGTATGCTGAGATATTAAACAGGTTGATGCCTAAAGTTTGACCAATTAAGTTAATTAAAGATACATAGGATTAATAATACTTAACTAAGTTTTCTTTCCGTTGTATCAAAAAAATAATAATACTTAACTAAGTGCTTGTTTTGGTTAACTTATTTAAATACTTATGAACACGTTTTATGTAAGTTAAAATAAATTTTTTATATATATTTATATCATGTTCTATAAATTATGACTGAAAAACTATTTATAAATCATTATAAGCCAGTTTTAAGTTGACAAAGTCCGGAGGAAAAGAGACACAAGGAACGACGTTGCTTACAACGGCAGTGGGGAGGCCTTCCTTTTAAAGATTGGAAAAATTACAATCAAGTTCCATGAAAGAGAAATCATTACTAAAAATCTCAATAACAAGCTTATCGGTCTATAATGACAAGTTCTATAATGAGAATAACAACCTCTAAGACTTATTTTTCAATTGTTTTTCTTACTTAAAACTTTATTGTAATTCTCCCTTAAATATTTGCCCGGGTTTGTCCAGTTGTCCCCAAATGGCCAAACCTTCCTCCGTCTTCGGCTGGATCCCGGCCTCTTTACAATTTTCAATTCCATCTCTATTATTAGATTAAAAAAAAAATAAATGGTTGGAATCTAGTATTTCATAAAAATATTACTCCTCCGGTCCTTAATATAGAACCCAATTCTTGAGTTGGTTTTGGTCCTAAATATAAGGCCCATTTCTCATATTTATCAATTTTCTCTAAACTACCCCTATGGATACTCCCTTAACCTAATCAAGTAGAAGAGGGAGAGGGGTATTAAGAAAGATGATTATGGTGTTTTAGGAAAAATGTGTCACTTTTTTTATAATTAACTAACTTACCTAACTTTCTTAATCTAATCAAATTAGTTAAATGGGTCTTATATTAAGGACCGGAGGAGTACTTTTTTAAATTTTAGTTACTCTATAATTATTAAATGTTTAAATTAAATTTTAATATTTTAAATTATTTATTTATATTTAATGTTATAATCATAAATTGTTAAAAATATTAAATCTCAATGTTTGCTGTGGCATCATTTTCCAAAATCTCTCTTTTTCTTCTTTTTTTATTTAATTTTATTTCTTTAATGAAAATTGAAAAGCAAATTGAGTCTTTTGAAGACGTGGGATGGTGATTGGAATATCACTATATTAGCGCGCATGATGAGGAGCAATGGACGAAGCAAAAATGGCAGCGAAGAAGCCTCATGTGGTGTGTGTTCCTCTTCCATTGCAAGGCCACATGAACCCTATGCTAACCCTATCCAAGCTCCTCCACCTCCATGGCTTCCACGTCACCTTCGTCCTCACCCACTTCAACTTCTCCCTCTTGCTCAACTCCAGAGGTCCCGATTCCGTCAAGGGCGTTCCCCGCTTCCGGTTTGAGGCCATCTCCGACGGTTTGCCGCCGGAGAACAGACGGGGGATTCTGAACCTGGCAGAGTTTTGCGTGTCGATGCCTGTAGAAGGGTTGCGTTCGTTCAGAGAGCTGATAGCCAAGCTGCAGCAGGGTGATTCGCCGGACGTGCCTCCGGTGAGCTGCATAATCTCCGACGGGGTGATGGGGTTTACTTTGAAAGCGGCGGAGGAGTTCGGTATACCTGAGTTCATGTTGTTTACTCCGAGCGGTTGTGGCATGGTGGGGTACCTTAACTTTGATGAGCTTGAGAAGAGAGGGTTTTTCCCGTTGAAAGGTAAGTAAGAAACTCTATCTTCAAAGAATCGGGTGAATTTCTCCGATCATCTTGCAGCAGAGAGACAGGAGTGAATGGGACCCCATGGAGTCCCCCACTCCTCGTCTCTTGAAGCCTTGTGATAGTGAGCCACATCATCACCTCTTCGCATAGGATTACGTGCATTACAACTTCAGGGGACCACGTAAGACTAATGAACGGGTTCTTGTCATAATTTTTCTCTCATTTTTTTTCTTTAGCTATTGAATTCATTTTAACGATTCAAATTTTAATTTTTTATAAATTATTTAAAAAAGTTTTAAAAAATATTTAGTGCATTTTAAAAGTATTAAAATTAAAGTTTAATATAGTTTGTAATCTATCATTTATTTATTTTTATAATTTAAGATTTTAATAATAGTTTTGGAAATGTTTAAATCTCAACCATTGAAATATTAATTTAAGAGTTAGAAAAAGGAAGAATAGGAAAGAAGAGGAGAAGGAAAGAGGAGATGTTCTAAACCACTGCTAACCTTCCCACTCAAGAGAATCAAACGGATTAATTAATTTGAATTTTATATTTTCTTACTTTTTATTGAGATTGAGCTTAAAATGATATTTTTGGTTTTAAAAAACAATATTATATTTAATTTTCACTTTAGTAACTGTAGTTTACTGGACTAATTATATGTATTGTCTATTTAGATATTGTATTTATTTGCAAATTAATACCTTTTTATTTGAAAATTACATACCACTATAGGTGGGGTTCATTGCTGTACATAGCACCATGCTTACTCGTGACTGTGATGTGCTTGCCCAACAAATTACAAGGGTTGGGCATCCGACATGATGGCCCATTCACAAATTATCACGTGTATATCTGTGCGAGATCTGCGTCTGATTCACCATGGTGAAGCCAAGCAACCACAATAAAACAATAAAATAAGAGAGAATTGCAATAAAATCTCATAAAAAAAAATAACTATCAAAAAATCGTAATAACAAGTGGGGAGTTGTCATTTCCTAGCATAAAACTTGCTATCACAAGCTTTTCAATTGTCATTAAGACTTTATAATAATTATGTTCATTTCCCGAGACTTTATTATAATTCTCCCAAAACATATCAATATAAACTACTATCTCTGGTCTCTAATATAAGATTTTATTTCACTTTTATTTTAGTCTTAAAGATAAGACCCTAATATACTTTGTCTCTCATATTTATCTATTTTTTTTTAAAGTAGTCCATTTTTTTTCTAATATACATGATTCTTATTGAGTTTATATATATATTATTAGCTTTAATCATTAGTTTAAGTGGATGTTATGTTTATTAGGCCTTGTGTGAGTTGATTAGTAATGGATATGTCACCGTAATAGAGTTACACAAGTTAATTATTGTTCTTTAGGCATGCTGCTATCTACTTTGAAGTCCCCTTATATTCCTTGTAGAAACTTATTATATATTGGGCAATTCTAATTGCTGCCAGATGAAAAGAATCTACAAGATGGGTATCTGGACACAGAAATAGATTGGATTCCGGCAATGAGAGGAATCAGACTAAGAGAAATTCCCACATTCTTCAGAACCACCAATCCTTCTGATATAATGTTCAACTACAACAGAGACTCAGTGTTCAACGCCATTAAAGCCAGAGGCGTCATCCTTAACACCTTCCAAGCCCTTGAATCAGAAACCCTAGACGCCATCACTTCCACCTACCCTAATCTCTACCCCATTGGCCCCTTACCATTGCTTCTTCAGAACCACCGAATTTCATCACCGTCAGCCGCCGCCGACGCCATAGACTTGAATCTCTGGAACGCAGAAACCAAATGCTTACAATGGCTAGACACAAGAGAGAAAGAATCAGTTATTTACATCAACTTCGGAAGCTTGGTTATTTTGAACCCTAATCAACTTCTAGAGTTTGCATGGGGATTAGCTAACAGTAACTGCAGTTTCTTATGGGTGATTCGACCTAATCTGGTTGAAGGTGGTGAACAAGTATTATCAGAAGAACGATTCAAGAAGAAGACTAAAGGAAGATGCATGATTGTGGGGTGGTGTCCACAAGAGAAAGTACTGAGTCACCCGTCGGTGGGAGGGTTTCTGAGTCATTGTGGGTGGAACTCGACGTTGGAGAGTATTAGTGAAGGTGTGCCAATGGTGTGTTGGCCGTTTTTTGCAGAGCAACAAATGAACTGTTTCTATGCGTGTAAGAGGTGGGGGATAGGGATGGAGATTGAAGAAGGTTATGAGGTTATTAAGAGAGAGAAGATTGAAGGGATCGTGAGAGAAGTCATGGAGGGAGAGAGAGGTAAGAAGATGAGAGAGAAGGCTTTGGAGTGGAAATTCAAAGCTCAGGATGCGACATTACCAGGTGGTTCTTCTTATGCCAGTTTCATCACTTTGGTTGACAAATTGAAAGAAGGCGTTCATTAAGCCACTTTGACGTATCTCAATTCTCAAGCATGACGGAAAAAACAGGCTAATTTAGTTTGCTATTGGATTAGTATATATTTAATTTTTAATAATATTAGGCTAAATTTGGGGTAATATAATTTTTGCCTTCAATTTTGCTTCATTTTGTTTTGTCCCTCAAGTTTTAAACTATAGTTTTTATCATCACAGGAAAAAATAATATAAGTTTTTATTAAATTATATAGACCAATATTATAAATGAAAGAACACTCGATGTATTAAAATCAATACTTTAAAATTTGAGAGACTAAAATAATCAAAGTGAAGGTAAATTTAAAAAACAAAATATTGTATTAACCCGCTAAATTATATACAATCTCCCTATAACTTTGAATGTGTACAGATCTATAACCCCAGTAACCTTTCTAATCTCTTATATTAATGTGGATAACTCTCAATTAACATTTTGAATTATCCCTGTGAGGAAAGGTTTATGCATGTTTAACATAATTTTTTTCCCCTTCACTCCCTTGAAGGTTCTCTCCTCCCCCCCCCCTCTTCTTTGGGAGATATCATAGACATAAGGGAAGGCGTATCTCAACTGTATTCCAATATATGAATTTTATTGGCACATCAATCAAAAGGGCTTTTTTTAGCATCACTTTCCCTCACGTTTTAAATTGCTCTGTAAAGAGACAAGCTAATATACGATCGTCAAGCTTTCTTGTGAAGAGAGGTACATCGTGATAGCTGCCTGTGACCTAACATTTATACTTATGCACACACGTGTTTATAATCAGTGGCCAAGCGAGACCTTACTCTAGGAACTGCAATCTAATTTTAGACAAGGTGCTAGAATTTAATTTTTTAAAAATTAATTACATGCCTTATAATAATGATCTCATGTTCCAAAAATTGTTGAATATGAACTAAAAAATAAATAATTCAAAAAAGAGAAAGTTGGTGAAAAATCACTCATATTTCAATCTGCCAGCAATTTTTCTCCATCTTATCTTCTAGATGACCCTTAAATTATGCTGATTGAATGAAATCTCATGCTAGATAAATCGATGCCAAATCTTACATATTTCAATCATAGTGATCAATGCATGTTCAGTTATGCCCTTTCTTCTTTGGGCTTCATGAAATGGAAGAGGAGTTATTATTGATGCATAAAATTGCATATAATTCAAGAGGTTTACGCTTATGCAGAGGAGGGATAAGCAATTACCGAATTAAAATATTACAAGATATAACTATAAAGATGACTTACAAGCCACATCAAAGATACGATTGAAATCAAACCTAATACTATATATGAAGTCTGATAAAGCTGTCCACACTTATAGCTGTGTAGTTATTCTAAATAAAGCTCTCCATATTGTGCTGTAGCAGATAATAAAAAGTTCTACCCCTGAAGAGTTTAGAGACATATACGCAGGAAAACAAAATAACAATAAGATTTCAGGATCTCATAAAATTATTTTTTTCCCCCATGTAGAACCTCAAATTTTCCTTTTGACCAGGACATGGTTGACCAATTTCTCCAAGTTGGTGTAGGAAGAACCATGAGGTGATGTGGATTCCTTTGCAATTTTCTGCCACTGCAAGACCTTGTGTTTCATCTCCATCGCTTTGTTCCCTTCCATCAACTCATTGATGACCCTTTCCACCATTTCTCTCTTCACATTCTTATCAAGCTCAACCCCAACTCCCCATTGGATGCAAGCATACCTACAATTAGTCTGTTGGTCTCCAAGGAAAGGCCAACAAGCCATTGGAATTCCTGAACACATGCTCTCTGTCATGGAGTTCCAGCCACAATGAGTCAAAAACCCTCCTATCGAAGGGTGGTTTAACACTTTCTCTTGTTCACACCAGCTAGCTATGAGACATCTATCTTTGGTCTCACTTAGAAACTCAGGTGAAAGAATTAATGACCCACCATCGACTAAGTCAGGCCTTATGATCCACAAAAAAGGTTTCTTGCTATTGGCTAAACCCCAACCAAATTCGTATAGTTGTTCTAATGTTATGACCGTGATGCTTCCAAAATTCACATAGATTACAGATTTGGGTTTCCTGGATTCAAGCCAATCGATGCATCGGGTCTCTTCATCCCAGAGATTGGAACCAATGGATTCCAATTGCTGGTTTTGCTGAGTTTGAGCGAGAAGCAAAGGGACAGGGCCTATGGTAAAAAGAGGAGGAAAGATAGAGGAAAGAGTGTCCAGTGCCTCACTCTCCAACTCACTGAATGTATTGAAAATGATGGCATCAGCAGTTTGGGCAGTTGGTAGCATGTTGATAACAAAGTTCAGAATGATGTGATCATTTGGGTCTAGAGAACTTAAAAAGCTAGGAAGATCTCTCAATCTGATGTTTTTCATGCCTGGAAGCCAGTTTAATTCAGTATCCAGGTATCCATTTGTCAGATAACTCTCATCTGTATCAATGAATGGAATCACCCAACGTTATCAATGGTTCATGGCCTATGAAAATAAAGAGCAAGTGTGAGTGTGTCTAGGGGGTACCTTTCAAGGGAACAATGCCCTTATCAAGAAGAGTACGGCAATGCCACATGCCCAAAATGGAAATTGCACTAACGGGGCTATATATAGCAATAGGAAGTCCAAATTCTTGAGCAGCTTTCACTGTAAAGGTCATGGCAATATCAGAAATCAAGCAACTAACTGGTGGAACAAGGCAATTAGAGGCATGCTCATGAAGTCTCCCAAGAAGCTTGATAAAAGGAAGCAGGCAATTCTTTGCTGTAGATTCACAAAGAGAAGGCAAATGTTGGGAGGCATTAGCGTCACTTGGAGGAAGACCATCAGGGATGGTTTCAAAGTGAAAATCTGAGAGCCCATCAAGAGCTTGAGGACCCCTAGAATTGAGCAAGCGTCTGTGGTTGTACTCTGTGTTCACGTATGTTATGTAAAAGCCTTTCGAATGAAGCACTTTGGCTACTTTCATGAGGCTGTTTAGATGGCTTTGAGCTGGAAATGGAATGATAACAACATGGGGTTTTGAATCCATGTTTTAGTTGAATATTCTCTTTGTCTGCTGAAACGCTTCGTTATATGAAGCTAGTTGGAACAGGTAACCAATAACGAGGGTGTGGGTGAAAGTTATAGTTGGCATGATGAGGCTAACGTTTTGAATAACTCTCTCCACAAAAAGCTAATCTTCTAGTTCCCTCCAGAAATGCATCAATGAATAGACTAAATACTAAAATAACTTAAACAAAACTCTCTCCTCCATATGCTATAATAGGATCAGATGAAAATGACATCACATATTATACGTCACTGCTTATCTTGAAGACATGTCTATTTCGGCCAGCCTGTTTTAGTTATTTGTCTTATCATACAGCTCAAGATGATGTTACAGTTATGGTCTTCATCGTGTAGTTTTTTTGTCTTGTTCGTTGTTTAAATCCAAGTGGGGCGCATAATCTTTCTGAGGTGAAGATAAATGGAATACTTCTGAGAGAAAAATTATTGGTTAATCGTGCAACGTAACACTAGTAAATGTTATTTCTATCGATTATGTGCATATTTTCCTTGTATTCCTCCCTTTGTCTCTTTTTATAAGTAATCTTAGACTATATCACGTAAATTAAAAAGTTATTTAAAGACAATAAATAAATAAAAATTAAATTTTTTTTCCAAAATATCTTTATGAAAGAGAGGCAAAGTATTAGAAACAGAACAAAAAATTATTATAATAAAAAGAATTATAAAAGAAAGAGAATGTGAATAGAGAGAGATGATAGTTTGGGAAATAAGATAATAAATATATAGGGTATTAAAATAAATCATTAACGAGGGCAAAATAGAAAATTTGTTGCAAAAATCTAAGACAAAATTGCAAATGCTGCTTATATTTAGGGATAAGAGAAAGATGGTAGTTGTTGCTTATAAAAAAGGATGAAGGGAATATCTAACAAAGGGTCACTCCAAACTTTATACTCCATCTAGGCCGTAATATAAGAATTAGATGTGTATTACTAAATATAAGACCTTAATATACTTTTATTTCTTATATTTGTTATTTTTTTAAAATTAATTTATTTAACCCATAAATTGATATATAATATAATGTTATGCAAGAGTATACATATTATATTTGTTATGATTAACTAATTTATCTGACTTTCTCAATCTACTTAAACTAGTTAACTAACTCTTATATTAAGAACTGAAATACTATTACCTTCAATTTTTAATATAGGTGCTAGTTAGATATTTAATTTGGTCATAAACAGAAGACCCTGTCTACTTCATCTCTAATATTTAGCTTGTAATTTTTGTAAATTAGTTATTTAGCTTTTATATAATATTTTATATAGCACACCAAATAAGTCCTAGGAAGAATGAACATTAGTTGGAGCCAAGTAATTAAAAATCATCAATATCAATCTTAAATATCAAGAAAGACTTAAAGAGAATTTGATGACAATAATTAGCTTGCCCCTGCTTCATGGAGACCCTCTATTAATTTAAATCTTAAACAAAATTGCAGCATATGCAAGAAATGTTATAGAGGTGGCCCTTAATGGAAAAATGCATCATATGATACGACGCACCAAACATTCACTAGAGGCCTTTGCAACTCCTTGTTAATGTAACATCATCTGTATATAGTGGGACCTACAACTCCATATATAAGCATCTAGAGTAATCAGGTCAGTTCAAATCTAAACAATCATAAATTTAAACAAGAACTTTGATATGCAGAATTTTTAAATTTATCACATCAACTGTGTGGCCCAAGACGAAGAAAAGACTTGAACTGAGTGAATCATTTCGAGTTCCATCTAAATCACTAGTTGCTACATGCTCGACACAACAATCCAAGCACTGGATAGCTTGAACGGATTTAAATGCACGACAATTGCAAGTGATGAATTGAAAATTCCCTTATTTGATGTTAAAAATCTTAGACTTTTGTTTTTAGCAGAACATCCTTGATCAAATTGTCCAAGTTGATGTAGGAAGAACCACCTGGTTTAGTGTCATTCTCTGCTATTTCCTTCCACTCTGAAATCTTCCGTCTCATTTGCTTCCCCTTCTCTCCTTCCATCAACTCATTCACAAGCTTCTCCACCTCTTCTCTCTTCACATTATGATCAATCTCAATTCCTATTCCCCACTCTTTGCATGCATACCTACAATTTGTTGGTTGATCACCAGACCAAGGCCAACATGCCATAGGAATTCCGGCACAAATACTCTCTGTCATGGAGTTCCAGCCACAATGCGTTAAGAAGCCTCTAATGGATGGATGGTTCAACACTTTTTCTTGCTCACACCAACTTGCTATGAAGCCTCTATTCTTAGTCTCATTTAAAAACTCATGTGGCAGAATCATTGAGCCTCCTTCTACTAGGTTTGGCCTTATGATCCACAAAAAGTGTTTCTTGCTATTGGCTAAACCCCAAGCAAATTCATGTAATTGTTCTGGAGACATAATTACAAGGCTTCCAAAATTCACATAAATCACTGATTTAGGTTCCTTGGTTTCTAGCCAGTCAAGGCATTGAGTCTCTTCTTTCCAGAGACTGGAGCCAATGGATTCCAACGAGCGGTGGTTGTGTGGGATTTGATGAGCGAGAAGCAAAGCGAGAGGGCCAATGTAGTAAAGAGGAGGAAAGACAGAGGATAGGGTGCTGAGGGCATCACTATCCAACTCCTCAAATGTGTTGAATATTATTGCTTGAGCTTTTTGGGCTCTCTGTAACTCAGCCATAAGGAAGTTTAGCAGAAAATTATTTGAATCTGTAACCTTCGCAAAGCTTGGAATATCTTTCAGTCTCATGCTTTTCATTCCAGGAAGCCAATCTAATTCAGTATCCAAGTATCCATTTGTTAGATAACTCTCATCTGCACCAATACAATGACCATTATAAGTTGTTGAAGATCCATTACTTCAAAAGAACAGATCAAAGAAAGCCACACATACAGAGCGCGCGCGCGCACAGATACAATGACCATCATAGTATGTTGCAGATCAATTACTTCAGAAGAATGGACCAAGAAAGACACACAAGAAACATGGTACCTTTCAAGGGAATTACACCTTTATTGAGGAGGGTCCGAAAGTGAAAAACACCCAAAAAGGAAACAGTACTGGCTGGCCAATAAAGAGCAATAGGAAGATCGAATTCATGAGCAGCATTCATTGTGAACGTCATGACAGCATCAGAAATCAAGCAAGAAACGGGGGGCACAACACCGTCGGAAGCAAGCTTATTAAGCCTTGCGAGAAGCTTTTTGAAAGGGATGAGACTGTTATTTTGCATAGAATTGCACAGAAAACTAAATCTTTGGGAAACATTGGCATCAGAAGGAGGAAGACCATCTGGGATGGTTTCAAATTGAAAATCTGGGAGGCCATCGAGGGCTTGAGCTCCTCTTGCATTGAGCAAGCGCTTGTGATTGTACTCAGTGTTGACGTACGTTATGTGAAAGCCTTTAGAATGAAGCACTTTGGCTAGTTTCGAGAAGGAAGTTATATGGCCTTGTAATGGAAATGGGGTGATAACAACATGGGGTTTTGACTCTTCTCCTGCAATCGTTGCCATGGTTATATTCAAGGCTTTTGTTTGAAGCTAAAGCTGCGGATTATAAACGATATGTATAAGAAGCTTCAGAGAAGGGTTCATCGATCTTTGAATAATTCTGAAAAAGCTATTAGTCCACGAAGTTCGTTGGTATTTTCTCGTGTGGAAAAGTATGTGGAAGATAAGTGGTGAGAAGTTGTATTTTGACAGGGAGGGTTCATCATAGTAGCCGGGAGATGCCAACATGGATTTTAATATCATCAATCAAAATTTTCTCTTTTGATAGTAAAGCGGTCAAGTTCAACGTAGATACTTATTTTCTTTTTGTGTCTTGCGAGGAAATTTAAGAGTTCTGAAACAATTTGGCTTTGGTTTGTCGTTTGTGTTCAGAACTTTTGACCAACGGTTTGGTTCGTTGAATTTATCGTGGCTTGCCCACAGGAAAACGACAAGTAATTTTACAGAATACTATTTTTATTTGAAAACCCATAATAATATTGTTGTTTTAAAAATATTTCAAACTTAACTCTTCAAAAAGTTAGTTAAAATTGGCTAAAAATAATAAATATATAAAAATTGAAAGTCTTTTCTTCAAAACAGCCTTATTAATGGAAGAGAGAGTATAAGAAAGAGAATAAGAAAATTATTATAATAAAGAGAATTATAAAAGAGAGGGAATGTGTAAGGGAGAGAGATTATATTAAAATTTAATCTTCTGAACATTTATTATCTAGGAAATGATATTTTGGAAAAAAAAATAAATATAGTAACTATTAAAATAAGTCTTTAATAGGGGCAAAATAAGAAGTTTGCTACAAAAGACAGCTTGTAAATGTTGCTCATATTTAGAAACAATAGGAGCAATGGAACATAGTGGTTGTTGCTTATAATAAGGGGTGAAAAGAGTAACTTTTTTTTTTATTATTAGAGGCTTGTATGTAATATCTCCATATTTTCAATACTATTACCACTCTAATGTGTTAATGAATGTACTTCTCCGATCCTAAATATAAGACCCATTTTATAGTACAAATCAGGAGTATTAGATTGAAAAAAATTTCAATTTTACCCTTATTAAAAGTTTTTTCTCTCTCTCCATTTACAAATCATTTTTATATTTCTATTCTTTCTCTTTTTTCAATGAGAATTAAATAAGGGTAAAACTATAAAGTAAGCATTACATATATTATAAATGACTTACATTTATGACCAAAACTTTTTCTTACAAGTAACTTATATTTATGATCAAATAGGCCGCCTTTAGCCCAATGTTAGTCGAGTTGGCTTGGTCAGATGCCAAGTCATCTTGGGCCATGAATTAAAATGGCCCATCACCAGCAAGTGTTGGTCCAAATAAAAAAGACTTGGGGACCTTAAGTATTATGTTCTGAGTTCGATTCTTGAGACAGTATATATGGAGAAAAATATTGTTGGAAGAGATCCTCTCTATGGTACCAAACAGTATTTTGATATACTAGTCTCTCACCGTTCGGGTGGGAGATATTGAGGGGGCAAAAAAAAAAAAAATCCCACGCAGAAAAGTGATATATTGGTGAAACTTGACTCCTCCACATTGAGATATCTTGCTTGGTTTCTGTTTTGTACGATTGTTTCTTTTGTCTTTCAGTCTGTTGAGATTAGTTAGTTGCTAATGCCTACTGAGAAGCAAATCTCCCAAACAAATAAAAAGAAACTTTGACTGAATCCATGAACCTTTTAATTAGATGTGGGAGGACATAGCAACAATCGGCAGACATGCTTTAATGCGGCGGGGCAAAGGAAAAAAAAGGGGTGGAGGTGTTAATTTTGAAATTGTGATATTTATTTATGTTCATTTCATCTTCCCGTTTGATTATTATTTAAGGTTTTACAATACAAAGCATTCTTAATTTTTTTCAACCTTCTTTTTATTTATTTTATCTATGCTTCCTTCCTGCTTTAATTTGCCGGCAATTGTTCTCCGTCTTATCTTTTACATATTTCAATCATAGTGATCAATGCATGTTCAGTTATGCCCTTTCTTCTTTGGGCTTCATGACATGGAAGAGGAGTTATTATTGATGCATTAAATTGAATATAATTCAAGAGGTTTATGCTTATGCAGAGGAGGGATGCGCAATTACCGAATTAAAATATTACAAGATAACTATATAAATGACTTACAAGCCATATCAAAAAATATGATTGAAATCGAAGCTAATACTATATATGAAGTCTGATAAAGCTGTCCACACTTATAGCTGTGTAGGTATTCTAAATAAAGCTCTCCATAGTGTGCTGTAGGAGATGATAAAAGGTTCCAACCATGAAGAGTTTAGAGACATATATGCAGGAAAACAAAATAACAATAAGATCTCAGGATCTCATAAAATTATTTTTTTCCCCATGTAGAACATCAAATTTTCCCTTTAACCAGGACTTGGTTGACCAATTTCTCCAAGTTGATGTAGGAAGAACCATGAGGTGCTGTGGACTCCTTTGCAATTTTCTGCCACTGCAAGACCTTGTGTTTCATCTCCATCGCTTTGTTCCCTTCCATCAACTCATTGATGACCCTTTCCACCATTTCTCTCTTCACATTCTTATCAAGCTCAACCCCAACTCCCCATTGGATGCAAGCATACCTACAATTGGTCTGTTGGTCTCCAAAGAAAGGCCAACAAGCCATTGGAATTCCTGAACACATACTCTCTGTCATGGAGTTCCATCCACAATGAGTCAAAAACCCTCCTATCGAAGGGTGGTTTAACACTTTCTCTTGCTCACACCAGCTAGCTATGAGACCCCTATCTTTGGTCTCACTTAGAAACTCAGGTGAAAGAATTAATGACCCACCATCTACTAAGTCAGGCCTTATGATCCACAAAAAAGGTTTCTTGCTATTGGCTAAACCCCAACCAAATTCGCATAGTTGTTCTAATGTTATAATCGTGATGCTTCCAAAATTCACATAGATTACAGATTTGGGTTTCCTGGATTCAAGCCAATCGATGCATCGGATCTCTTCATCCCAGAGATTGGAACCAATGGATTCCAATTGCTGGTTTTGCTGAGTTTGAGCGAGAAGCAAAGGGACAGGGCCTATGGGAAAAAGAGGAGGGAAGATAGAGGAGAGAGTGTCTAGTGCCTCACTCTCCAACTCTCTAAATGTATTGAAAATGACGGCATCAGCAGTTTGGGCAGTTTGTAGCATGTTGATATTTAAGTTCAGAATGATGTGATCATTTGGGTCTAGAGAACTTAGAAAGCTAGGAAGATCTCTCAATCTGATGTTTTTCATGCCTGGAAGCCAGTTTAATTCAGTATCCAGGTATCCATTTGTCAGATAACTCTCATCTGTTTCAATGAATGGAATCACCCAACGTTATCAATGGTTCGTGGCCTATGAAAATAAAGAGCAAGTGTGAGTGGGTGTAGGGAGTACCTTTCAAGGGAACGATGCCCTTATCAAGAAGAGTACGGCAATGCCACAAGCCCAAAATGGAAATTGCGCTAACAGGGCTGTAAATAGCAATAGGGAGTCCAAATTGTTGAGCAGCTTTCACTGTAAAGGTCATGGCAATATCAGAAATCAAGGAACTAACTGGTGGAACAAGGCAATTAGAGGCACGCTTGTGAAGCCTCCCAAGAAGCTTTGTAAAAGGAAGCAGGCAATTCTTTGCTGTAGATTCACAAAGAGAAGGCATATGTTGGGAGGCATTAACATCACTTGGAGGAAGACCATCAGGGATGGTTTCAAAGTGAAAATCTGAGAGCCCATAAAGAGCTTGAGGACCTCTAGAATTGAGCAAGCGCCTGTGATTGTACTCAGTGTTGACGTACGTTATGTGAAAGCCTTTAGAATGAAGCACTTTGGCTAGTTTCAAGAAGGAATTTATATGGCCTTGTAATGGAAATGGGGTGATCACGACGTGGGGTTTCGACCCTCCTCCTTCAACGGACGCCATGCTTATATGTATATATATCCAAGGCTTTGTTTGAAGCTGAGGCTGAGGATTAGGGGATAACTATATATGAAGTTTCTGATAAGGGTTCAATGATCTTTATATCATTCACCAAAGAAGCCATGATGAGCCCACAATTCTGAGATTTTCAAAAGTTGGCAGGCTTTCTTCCACATGGGAAAGTGAGTGGTGAAAAGTCGCATTGATATTCATCAGCAACCACAGATTTCAATATCATCAATCGATTTTTACTCTTTTGATAGTGAAGCGGTCAAAATTAAACCAAGGTAGTCTCTTCTTTCTTTTTGTGTCTTAAGAGGAAATTAAAGAGTTTGGGAACAATTTGGCTTCGGAATATTTGAAAAATGATAGAAATATTCGTTTGGTTGGTTGAATTTATCGTGATCTGCCCTAGGGACAATTTTTTTTTTTCAATTTGAAAACATACAATAAGATTGTTGTTTTAAAAATATTATAAAATGAATTATTTTTTTAAAAAACTTGCCCGTATACATCTTTTTCAAATTCTAATAATATTATTGAAATATTACACAGAAGAGAGATGAAGCGTGGATAGAAAATTAGAAACAGAGTCCATCATATCCTATACATATTGGGCACCTTCAAGAAAGAAGGCATGGTGCACCATATTATACCTGATACTCACGTCAGTTGAGATACCAGCCCCGACAATACTAGTTGAAAACTTAAGTCGGCATTAAAGAAGTCGAGGCACGGCACAATTAATTACTCGTATTAAAAACAGTAGTCCTCTTATTTTTAATATAAGATCTATTTAACTATTTGATTAAATTAAGAAAGTTAGATAAGTTAATTAATTATAAGAAATATGATATGTTTTTTTTAAAACTCCATAATCATATTCCTTAATACCTTCTTTCCCTCTTTTACTTGATTACGGTTAAGGGAAATCTATAGAGACAATCTTAAAAAAAATTAATAAATATGAGAAATAAATTTTATATTTAGAATTAAAATTAATTTAATAAGAGACCGATGAAAAAGTATCATTTCCCTTTGCTAGAGAGGAGAACATGCACGAGTTCAAATTCGGGAAGCGCGAAACCTATTTGGCTTTGGTTTGTCGTTTGTGCTCAGCGCTTTTGACTAACGGTTTGGTTCGTTGAATTTATCGGGGCTTGCCCGCAGGAAAACGACCAGTAATTTTACAGGATACTAATTTTTATTTGAAAACTCATAATAATATTGTTGTTTTAAAAATATTTCAAACTTAACTCTTCTAAAAATATTAAAAAAGAACAAATGCATATGACAATTAAATTCTGAAATTAACAAGATAGATAGTAAATTGGAGAATAGACTGAACGGGAAAAAAATACAAAAACCTTTTCTTTTTAAAGTGGGGGAATGGACAGTCTTCTCCCTCAAAGGATTTCATTTCATTGAACTATGAAATTAACAAGGTTTTAACTTTTATTAGAAGATGTATCTATGTTTAATACATGACAGCGTCTACAATTTTTAATTCCAATTTGTTTTTTTTAACTCCAATAATAATACTCATGCGCAGCAAGAAAAAATCAATTTTCAATTTTTAATTTCAATTCGTTTTTTTAACTCACTGTAGCCTGAATTGTATACATGCCAATAACACGTTTGCTCGACTTCAGGAAGTTACGAATAACAAGTGTGCAGGCGAAACTTATAGTTGGGATGAAGGTAACGTTTTGACGGCTCAACACACAAAAAACTAATGTCATGAAACAAAGTTAGGTAGCAGACAAAATATATAAAAGCAAATATCAAGATATGAAGGATTGAGGGCAAAAAAAAAAAAAAAAAAAGGAGATTCACCTAGAGATGCCAATATTTTGTTCATGATTTCTATTTATCGGCCTTCAAAAATTATAATGTAATCCTATAGTTATAAGAAAATAAAATAAAATGGTACAATATGTAATTTGTACACATAGACACAATTATACCAAATTCTAATTCATTTCTTTTAATCAAAGCATGAAGACAAATTAGATCAATTCTATAATCTTTTTTCAACATATTACATAATTTTCTTAAGAATCCATACATATATGCTTTTGCCAATTAAAAGAATTGAAAGTTCCCTTGTATACATAAGATTTAAGGTTGAAAATCCTAGACTTTGGTTTTGACCAGCACATCTTTAATCAAATTGTCCAAGTTGACGTAGGAAGAACCACCTGGTTTAGTGTCCTTCTCTGCTATTTTCTTCCACTCTGAAATCTTCTGTCTCATATTCTTCCCTTTCTCTCCCTCCATCAACTCAATCACAAGCTTCTCAACCTCTTCTCTCTTCACATTATTATCAATTTCATCCCCTATTCCCCATTCTCTACAAGCATACCTACAATTTGTTTGTTGATCTGCAACCCAAGGCCAACAAGCCATTGGAACACTTGCACAAATACTTTCTGTCATGGAATTCCACCCACAATGCGTCAAGAAGCCTCCAATAGATGGGTGGTTTAACACTTTTTCCTGTTCACACCAGCTAGCTATGAACCCTCTGTCCTTAGTCTCACTCAGAAACTCAGGTGATATAATCATTGAGCCTCCTTCAACGAGATTTGGCCTTATAATCCACAAAAAATGTTTTTTGCTATTAGCTAAACCCCAAGCAAACTCGTACAATTGTTCTGGAGATATAATTACAACGCTTCCAAAATTCACATAAATAACAGATTCAGGTTCCTTTGTTTCTAGCCAATCAAGACACTGAGTCTCTGCTTTCCAGAGATTGGAGCCAATGGATTCCAATGAGTGGTGGTTGTGTGGGATTTGAGTGAGAAGCAAAGGGAGAGGGCCAATGGAGTAAAGAGGAGGAAAGATAGAGGATATTGCATTGAGGGCATCATTCTCAAAATCTTCGAATGTGTTGAAAATGATTGCCTGAGCTTTTTGGGCTCTATGTACTTCATTCATAAGAAAGTTTAGCACAAGATCATTTGAATCTGTTGTCCTCACAAAACTTGGAATATCTTTTAGCCTCATATGTTTCATTCCAAGAAGCCAATCTAGTTTGGTATCCAAGTATCCATTTGTCAGATAACTCTCATCTGCACGAATACAATTGCCACTATAAGTTCTACGTTGAAGATCTATGACTTCAAAAGAATGGACCATGAACCACACACACACACAACTATAATAGAAGCAGTGACATAAACAAGATCTATACCTTTTAACGGAATGACCCCATTATCAAGAAGAGTGCGAAAGTGAAAAACACCCAAAAAGGAAGCAGCACTGGCAGGCCAATAGAGAGCAATAGGAAGTCCAAATTCTTGGGCAGCTTTCATTGTGAATGTCATGATACCATCAGAAATCAAGGAAGTAACTTTGGGCAGGACACCATCGGAAGCAAGCTTATTAAGCTTTGCAAGTAGCTTTGTGAAAGGGACGAGACTTCTATTTGGCAAAGAATCACATAGAGAAGGAAATCGTTCAATATCATTCGCATCATCAGAAGGAGGAAGACCATCTGGGATGGTTTCAAATCGAAAATCTGGGAGCCCATCAAGAGCTTGAGCTCCTCTTGAGTTGAGCAAGCGCTTGTGGCTGCACTCAGTGTTGACATATGTTATGTGAAAGCCTTTAGAATGAAGAACTTTGGCTAGTTTCAAGAAGGAAATTATATGGCCCTGTAATGGAAATGGGGTGATCACAACATGGGGTTTTGACCCTTCTCCTTCAACAGACTCCATGCTTATATCGATATCCAAGGCTCTGTTTGAAGCTGAGGCTGAGGATTAGGCAATAACTAAATATGAAGTTTCTGATAAAGGTTCATTGATCTTTATATCATTCACAAAAGAAGTTGTGAGTCCAAAGTTTTTGGTTTTTCAAAAGTTGGCCGGTTTTCTTCCACATGGGAAAGTAAGTGGTGAAAAGTCATGTTGATATTCATCAGCGACGGCAAAGACGAGTCAGAATATTGAGCGAAGCCAACACAGATTTCAATATCATCAATCGATGTTTACTCTTTTGATGGTGAAGCGGTCAAAATTAAACCAAGTTGGTCTCTGTTTTCTTTTTGCGTCTCAAGAGGAAAGTAGAGAGTTTGGGAACAATTTGGCTTCGGGTTTATGCTCGGAATATTTGACAAATGAATAAAATATTCGTTTGGTTCGTTGAATTTATCGTGACTTGCGCAAGGAACAAAAAAGTTTTTTTTCCCCAATCTGAAAACATACAATAGGACTGGTATTTTGGAAATATTATAAAATGAATTCTTTTTTAAAACAACTTACCCCGATATTTTTTTTCGAACTATAATAATATTATCGAAATATTACCCAGAAGATAGATGAAGCATGGATAAAAACAGAGTCCACCATATCCTATATACGTCGGGCGCCTTCTACAAAGAAGGCATGGCGCACCATATTGTACCTTGTACTCGTGTCAGTTGAGATACAGGGCAGGACAATATTTGAAAACTTAAGTCGGTATGAAAAAAGTCAAGGCATAGCACAATATAATTCCTTGTATTAAAAATAGTGTCATTTCTTCCTTTAAAGAGGAAAACACATACAAATTTGAATATTGGAAAGTGTAATTTTTCGGAAAGCTATTCCTCAACCGCTTCTGACTCAAAATGGATTAATGTGACATGAGGATATCCTGATTCCACCTGAAAAATAAGATCATCTCATTCTTGTAATTATTGGAGCATCAAGATTGAAATTGATTACCATAATCCCAAGGCCGGACTTATTGCTCCAAGGCCCTTGGTAAGTTTCTCTTAAAAGAGGGATTAACAAGTGTGTATGAATATATGGAACTTACACGGGAAAAATGATCGATGCCAGATCTTCAATATATACAACCAATGATGATCCAAATTTAATTATACCAATATTGCTTCTATGATTTTTCAGAAAAGGAAGAGAAATATAGTCTCTAAAAGGAACACAAAATAATTATAAGAACGAAAATATCATTGGTGAATGAAACTGCATACAAATCAAGATACCAAAAATGTTACAATATAATGATATCCATTACTAACAAACCTTAAAAATAAGACTGAATTAAAAGCTAATACAATTCTATGAGATCCGACAAAGCCAGACCACGCTTTTAGCCAACTAGATTCCAAAACAAAGTTGCCCTGTTGTGTCGTAGGCGATGGGAAAGGATTCCAAGCATATGCAGTAAAACAAACAAACTAGTTAAGATTTGAGGATTTGCATTTTGATGGATCAAGACTTGGCTGATCAATTTCTCTAAGTTAACATAGGAGGAACCAGTAGGAACAATGCCTTTCTTTGCAATTTGTTGCCACTGCAAGACTTTGTTTCTCATATCCTTTCCCCTTCTCTTCTTCCATCAGGTCATTGAGGACCCTCTCCAACATTTCTCTCTTGACATTATTATCAATCTCAATTCCTATTCCCATTCTGCACAAGCATACCTACAGTTAGTTTGTGGTCTCCATAGAAAGGCCAACAAGCCATTGGAACACCTGCGCAAACACACTCTATCATGGAGTTTCATCCACAATGTGTTAAAAACCCTCCAACAACTTAAGGGCGGTTTAATACTTTCTCTTGTTACACCAGCTTGCTATGAGGCCTCTTTCCTTGGTCTCACTCAGAAACTCAGAAAATAGAATTACTGAGCCACCATTCATAATGTCGGGCTTTATGATCCGCAAGAAGAGTTTATTACTGTTGGCTAAACCACAAGCAAATTCATGAAGTTATTATGGAGACATAACCGTGACGCTTCCAAAGTTCACATCATAAACTACAGATTTAGGTTTGTTGGATTCTAGCCAATTGATGCATGCGGTTTCTTCTTTCCTTAGATTGAAACCAATGGATTCCAAGTGACCCATCACTCTGGCCAATTGAAGCAAATAGGTGGGGCCTAAGTTGTAAATAGGAGGGAAGATGGAGGATAAAGTGTTCAACCCATCACTCTCCAAACACACGACGCCGAACAGGAGCTGAAACGGAGAGGACGCAAGCGGCGCTGAAATAAAAACCACACACACACACGCGAGGCGCGGCAGAAGCTGAACACGGAACAAACAACAACGGAAGGAGCTGGCGGCAGAAGTAAAAAACAGAGCAACAAGACGCGACACACACGTTGGGCGACGAAGCAGGGAGCTGACGGCGTGAACAGTGTTCGAACTTTGATTACAGCAACTCTTATGGCAATCCGTGGCTAAGGTCCCATAATTCTCTAATTCAACAATAATGGCAGGAGCTCGGATCATCAAAGAAGAGTTTTAGTTGCTTTAATTTCCTGTCTAATAATTGTTTAACAATTCTTAGGTCTTAGGATAGTTATTCTGATTATTAGAAAATTTTGTATTGTTAAATCTGATTATCTGTGGAGATTTTTGTGGCCGGATTACTGTTTAGCATTTGACATTGGGTTGTTTATAGCTTTGATTTCAATTATGATGTTGTAGTTATGACATTTATAGTGATTTTGGAGTTAATATATTTTGATTTTCTAAGGTGGCTTAGAATTTTGGATCATATTGTCTCTTGCTAGCTTTAGTTCTGTTATTTTGGATTTAAGAGTTCTAATTAAGCATTGGTTTTTAGCATCCTTAATCCCATTTTACTATTCTGGTTGCAGTTAGTAAGTTGGGATTTTAGGAAAATATTTTGTGGCAACTCGAGGTGGCTCGGTTGTTGGATTAAAAGCTTAATTATAATTCTTAATTCATTGTCTTAAGTCCCACATCTTTTAGAGTGATGATTGCCTGCGTTGTTGAATTGGAGGATTGATTATTATTAGTGTTATTTGTGTGTCTCATTTTCATTTCTTTTATCTTCATTTATTTCAATCATTTTTTATATAAAAAAAAAAAAGTATTTTAATTTCAATTTAATTCAAGGCATTTAGTTAGCAATTCCTCAAAATCAAAATCCTTTTTTTATAGTTTAGGTTATTTGCATTTATTTACTAGGGTTTAATTTCATTTTCGGCTTCTCAAAGTGAAACGACCCAGGTTGTGCACTATATTGCATTAATTCGGTTAATTTTTGGAGTAACTCCAAAGCGACAATCAAAGGGCAAGTTCAACTTCAAGTGGCGCCGTTACCGGGGAGCCAAGAAATTAGTTCCCTAGTAATTAAGTGTTAAGTAGCCTTGATTGGGGTTCATTTGTTGAGCCTTTTTAGTTTTCATTTTTGTTAGTTTTTTTTACTAGTTTGCATTTGTTTTTTGTTGTTTGTTTTTCATTGCTTGGTTTAATAGCAATCATGATCTACTCTCACATTCTCAATTTTTTGCAGGAAATAGTATGTGGAATGAAGCACCTTCTAATTCAACATATTCTCAAGAGATTGAAGAGTTGTTACAACAGTTGGACTCCTTCCAAGCTCAGCTAGAGTCTCAAACACCTAATCACATCTATGCTCATGACACCTCTTGGATGAACCATCCTCTACATCAATCACCTAACCTATCACTCCCACCTCACCAACCATACTCTAATTATATATCTCCACCGTATACATACCACCAAGAACCACATCCTTTTCCATATGAATATTACCACCAACCCCCGTCCCAATCCAAGTACCATTCTCTTCCCCAATCTCATGAACATCAATTCAATGAACCTGACCCATTTCTTACTATTCCTAAGAAAGATCAGATACGATTTTTAAGAGAAGTTTATGACCGCTTAAATTCATACTATCATGGATTACTTGAAGAAGCACGGATATCTGGAATCTCAAAGGAATCAGACGAAGAGTTAGGAGAATGTAAGAGTGCATTGGAGAAGATCTTGAGTGATATAGCTCAAATTGAATCTGAGAATGGGAAGGATGAATCAAAGTGCCCAGATTTACTCATACAAGAAGCTGAGATGAAGCATGAGCATCTACAAACTCATAAGGAATTGTGCCCTACATCAGGTAATATTGATCCTCTTCTTGAGGAGATTGATTCTTATGCTATAACTACTATTCCTGTTGAAGCTATTGATGATGTGAGTGATATTGAGGTGGATGAAGAAATTGTCTGTGAATCCCCTCATGTTTTTGAACATGCTAATACTCATCTTGTTGCTCTTAGTGGTAGTGATTTGGATGAAGATGCTGTTTTGTGTGATGATTCACATGCCAACTATGTTTCTCTTCCTAGTGTTAAAAGTGTTGTTATTGATAAGTATGAGAACATTGAGATTGCTAAATCTTGTTTGAGTGCAATTATTGATGACAAATGTGAGAATGATCATTGCCTTGAGAACCAAATGCACGATAGTTCCTTTGAGTCAGTGGCTTTTAGTGTTGTTGAGAAAGACTTGAAATTTTGAATGACAAAATTATGCATGTAGATGAGTCTTTTCAACAAGTTTTGTTTTGTGATTTGTCTCCTGATTTAGTTAGCTGTGTCAATAGTAGTACTCTGCATGAATCTTCTTCTGCTTCCACCCTTTTACCTTCCACCTCTTGTGAATGTGATAGTGATGTGCTGTACTCCAATAACTGTCAGTTGGATTCTTCAGTTTCCACGTCACATGAACCTAAGTGTTTTGAAACTTTAAATGATTGTTTGACTCCTACTAATGGGAGTATCATTGACTTTCTTGGATGCTGTAGCTACTTGAAGAGCCTAGATCATAAAATGTCTTTACTTTATTTGAAATCACTCGAAGTTTATATTGTTGGATTTGGTACTGCTGCTAGCTTGTTTTCTGTGCAGGCACATAATTGGAAGGGATCTCCTCAACACCAAACTCCACCATATGCTCTTGGACCTCTTTCAATTGACCCTGAGCCACCACCAAGAAAGTGCAATCATCAAGAGCAATCCTTTTTGCTAAATTTCATGTTTCTCATTATTGATGAGATTTTCTTTTTTAGGAGTCTAAGGCGCTTTAAGCACAAGGTTGTCTCTTTCCTCGCTTATTTTCTCTTAACTTTGTATTGATTAACTGTGCTTAACTGAATTATTGAAGAAGAAGATAAGTGTGGGGGAGCTATTCTAGTAGAAAAGTAACCTTGTTTTTGTTTATTCCCCTATTGATTCTCTTTTTCTCTTGTCATTACCTTGTCCTTGGATTTTGCATTGAGGACAATGCAAAATTTAAGTGTGGGGGAGAGATTGTTGTTGAGTTGAGCTATTTTAAAAAAAAAAAAAATTTTGCCTTTGGATTTGCTCATGTTTCCTAAGTATTGCTGCTATAGTTGCTCTTTTCTTTGCCTTATTGGTTGATTTTTGAATTGCATCGCATGATTTGAGAGTGATTCTTGCTTGGAAGTTTTGTTGCTGGTTTCTATGTCCTCTTGCTTTCATTCGCCTCAGTGCTCTGCACTGCTGTATGGGCGAGTTGCTGTTCTCTCTGTTGCTGACTTGACTTTTGTAATCCTCGGGCATCTCTTTTTAAAATCTTTTTGCACAATGCTTGTGAATATTACACGGCTGAGTTTGATTGCATTTAATTTAAGTGATTTCTGTTCTTAGTTGATTAGCATAGTAGAATGCCTTTAGTGCAGTGTTATTAACCTTGTTTCATAGCTTGATACTTAAGGAGGAAACATCTTGGAGAAAGCCTTGATGGAAGGATTGTTGAGCCATATATTTTCTCATCTTGTATGATTTTCATCTAGTTTTGGTTAACCTCTAGAACTTGTTTAGATTCTTTTTTTCAAAGCTGCATTAATACCTAGATTTGTGAAGATGATAGGGGCATTTATTTCTAAACCTTTACCCAAACACAAACCACTTCATTTAACCTTTGTTCACCCCTTTGAGCCTTCACTTTCATTCCATTCATTTTTTTAAGCAAGTGTTTTGCATAAGTTACATTTAGTTTTTCATTTCGAAAAGTATATCATTAATATCTATATCTTTGCCTTCTTGGGTTTGGATGCCAAAGAAAAAAAAAAGCAAAAAAAAAAAACAGAGAGAGATAGAAAAAGGCAAGAAAGAGAAGAAAATGTTTAGAAAAAGCCAAAAAAGAAAGTTATTAAAAAAAAAAAAGAAAAAATAAGTTGCAACAAATGAATAAATTTGAAATAAGGCATTCCATGGTGGTTTGAAGAACAAGGATTTCTGTTTCAAAAGGTTAAAATCTACATATTGGTGTTGTTTCATGATTGTACTTTAACTCACTTTGAGTTGATACTTTATTACTCATGTATTTCACTTGTTAGTCCATTCATTCATTTGGCCTTGTTTTTCGACATTACAACCCTTCAAGTCCCCTTGATCATGAACCTGAGGTATGTTAGTGGTGGAGATATTAGAATTTCTGCAAGCTTTTGGTAGGTGCTAATCTAGGTGGATTGAGTGAAATTTTTCCCATTTAAGAGATGAGTGAAACACTTGTACCCTATGTGAGCTCTATTATGTTTCTCTTCTTTTATCCTGCTATGTTTCTTGTGTTAATTTCTTTGCACTGAAGTATTCTACAAATGTTGATTGATTAGGAATAAAAGTTGCTTGAGTTAATTGCACATTCATGCTTAGTTAGTTTTATGTTTGCTTGCATTGAGTGTCTCTATTAGATTCTTCTTTAATGATGTTTTGCCCAGGAGTGCAAAAGGCTAAGTGTGAGGGAGTTGACAAACTCAATTATTTTTATATATTTTGATATCTTTTATATGGGTTTTGTCAACTTAATTAGTCACTTTTGACCTTAATTGATTGATTAATTGATTTAATATGTTTTATTTTGAATTATTATTTTATAGGGGCAAAATTGTCATATTTTGGTTTAATTGTGACTAATTGATTTTTGAGGACAATTAATGCTACCTTATCTTTGAATTTTTGCTTGCAGGTTTTTAGAAGATTTTGAAAATAAAAAAAAACTTAAAAAAATTAAAAAAGAAAAGAAAAGAAAAGAAAAAAATAAATTAAAAAAAGAAAATAATAAAATAATAAAAGGGGGAGCAAAACGCAGAACCTGCAAGCAAAAATTCAAAAATAAGGTAGCATTAATTGTCCTCAAAAATCAATTAGTCACAATTAAACCAAAATATGACAATTTTGCCCCTATAAAATAATAATTCAAAATAAAACATATTAAATCAATTAATCAATCAATTAAAGTCAAAAGAGACTAATTAAATTGACAAAACCCATATAAAAGATATCAAAATATATAAAAATAATTGAGTTTGTCACCCATCACTCTAGCCAATTGAAGCAAATAGGTGGGGCCTAAGTTGTAAATAGGAGGGAAGATGGAGGATAAAGCCTAAGTTGTAAATAGGAGGGAAGATGGAGGATAAAGTGTTCAACCCATCACTCTCCAACTCACTGAATGAGCTGAAAATCATGGCTTGAGCAGCTTGCGCATTTTTAAGATTGTATCTCGTCATCTTTATCATAAACTCATTATCTGGATCTTATGTGCTAAAAAAGCTTGGAAGATCCCTTTGTCTAATATTCTTCATGCCTGAAAGCCCGTTTAGTTCAGTATATATCCAAGTGCCCACATCTCAAGTAACTACTCTCGCCTGCAAATGGGCAATCATTTTTAAATTAAAGGTTCATTATATAGAAAGAATGATAGATGTGGTTATTTGATTAATTTTGTTATATTAAAGAGAAAAATATAATTCATTTAAAGAATAATAAATATTTATTTATTAATTTTGTCTCTATAATTAATGTTTAAATATAGTTCCTTGTATTTTTCTCTTTCTCTTTCACTACCTCATTTAATATGAGAAAAGTTAAAAAAAATTCAATTATTTCTTTTAAATCATAAAGAGAGGGCCTAAATCCTAAACAAACTACATGCTCGCATGTGGGGATAAAGATCTGAAGATGCCATTTGTCACAGATATAATCCAAGCGGCATAAAAGAGATGACAAGACAAGCCCAATATAATTAATTATTTATATTCAATATTGCTTTGATCACAACTTGGGCCCTTGATCCTCCACCTCAACAGAACCCAATGCAGAATGAAAGTGGGTGGGCAATAATAAATTATATTTTTCAAAGGAAATTAAGAAGACAACAAAAGTTGTCAAGCAATTTATTAAAAAATTCGTCGGCTGAAAAAAAAATAATTACAAATCTTCATAGCACCTGATGCGTGGATCTCTAGCCGCTGGTTTTGCTGAGTTTGATTTCAGCAATGTCAAATGCTTTTGTACACCACTTTTATTTAAATATTCAAACCTGTGGTGCCGCCATGAAAGAGGGAGAAAGAAGAAAATTCCACGTTATATCCACTCTTCCCTTTGGCCCTACAAGACCCTTTTCATATGCAAAGTTCACTTCATTCATTCAACAACATAGTTTAGGGGCCAAAAATTAAAATTTTCCTACATAAGAAATTGAAAATAAATATAAGTAACCAAACACACTAAACAATACATAGGACTTCCATGACGAATTACATCAATTTCTTTTTATGAGCACTTGATTAATCAGTTTGTCCATGCTGATGCAAGAAGAACCACCACATCCAGTGGCCTCCTTTGAAATTTTCTGCCACTCTAAGACCTTCTGTCTCATCTCCTTCCCTTTATCTCCTTCTATCAATTCATTAACAAGCCTCTCCACAACTTCCCTCTTCACGTTATTATCAATCTCAACCCCAATCCCCCACTCTGTGCAAGCATACCGACAATTAGTTTGCTGGTCTCCATAAAAAGGCCAACAAGCCATTGAAACACCAGAACATATACTCTCTATTATAGAGTTCCATCCACAGTGTGTTAAAAACCCTCCAATTGAAGGATGGTTGAGAACTTTTTGTTGTTCACACCAGCTTGCTATGAAACTTCTTTCTTTGGTCTCACTTAGAAACTCAGGAGATAGAATCATTGAACCACCATCCACAAGATCAGGCCTTATGATCCACAAGAAGGGTTTCTTGCTGTTGGCTAAACCCCAAGCAAACTCATGCAGTTGTTCTGCAGACATGACCGTAACACTTCCAAAATTCACATAAACTACAGATTTAGGTTTCTGGGATTCTAGCCATTCGATGCAATGAGCGTCCTCTTTCCAAAGATTGGAGCCAATGGAGTCTAAGACATGGTTATGTTGAATTTGATTGAGAACCAAATGGACAGGACCTATAGTGTAAATTGGAGGGAAGATCGAGGAAAGAGTACTCAGTGCCTCACTCTCCAACTCACTAAATGTGTTGAAAATGATGGCATCAGCCGATTTTTCTTTTTGTAACTCATTGACAGAGAATTTTAGCATTAAGTAATCATCTGGATCTAGTGAACTGAAATAGCTAGGAAGATCCCTCAATCTCATATTTTTCATGCCTTCAAGCCAATCCAGTTTGGTGTCCAAGTATCCATTCGTTAGATAACTCTCATCTGCAACATAATAGAATCGCAAAATATTGTTGAAGATTGATCATTTCAAAGGATAAACCAAAGAAAAGACACAAACAAACAATCAAGAACAAAAAAAGAAGAATGAGTAACATGAATTAATGCGTTACCTTTCAAGGGAATGATACCCTCATCAAGAAGAGTGCGACCATGCCAAACACCCAAATAAGAGATAGCACTAATAGGACAATAAATAGCAATAGGAAGTCCAAATTCTTGAGCAGCTTTAACTGTAAATGCCATGACAGCATCAGAAACCAAGGAAGTAACAGGAGGCACAAGGCCATTAGAGGCAGACTCTTGAAGCTTGTTAAGAAGATTTGTAAAAGGGATGAGGCAATTCTTTGAAGTAGATTCAGCAAGAGAAGGCAGATGTTGGGTGGCATCAGAATCAGTATACGGAAGGCCATCAGGAATGGTTTCAAAACGAAAATCTGGGAGGCCATCCAGAGCTTGAGGACCCCTCGTGTTGAGCAAGCGTCTGTGGTTGTACTCGGTGTTAACATACGTTATGTGAAAGCCTCTTGAATGAAGCAGCTTGGCTAAATTCAAGAAGGTGTTCAAATGGCTTTGTATTGGAAAGGGAGTGACCACAACGTGTGGTTTTGATCCTCCTCTTTCCATAGAATCCATCTTTCCACTTCTGATTTCTCTTTCCTTCACTCTATTGCAACACTCTCTATGTGTGAAGCTTTATTTATAGAGCCAGCGAGGATCGAGACTGTTTTTTGGTGAAAAGTGCAGCAAGACAGCTTCCTAGAACGTTGTTCCCCGCCCCCCCTTTTGACCTGATCCTAGAACGTTGTTATTGCAATTTAAAAGTCTGCACGACATGTGATGCGTGTTTCCCAAGGTTCATGGCTTTATCTCCAAGTCTTATCTGGAGGCCACATGCATATTCACTGATATCTGTGGGTGGTATTGTTATTTAAAAGGGGAAGAATTGTAAGTGTATGCTTTTTCATTTAAAAAAAAAAAACAGGAAGAATCATTTGAGATCCCAAACTAGAAATATTATAAGAAAAATTGGAGATAAAACCCCCGTTAAAAATTTAATTAGTAAATGGTCCATAAGATAATGAATTGCACAATAGAAGAGTTGCATATAATGAAAAATGGTTTGCACACAACATTATTTGGATAAAAAAGACTAACTTGCACATATAGAAGATGATTTGCAAATAAGAAAAATTTAGTTGTACAAAAGAATGTTCAGCTACACATTACACATTATAAAGGAGAAGATGATTGCACATAAGAGAAGATGAATTGTACATTAGGGAAGTCAAGTTGCACATAATGGAAGTTGAGTTGTACAAAATTCTTGGAGACTATTTTCCAATTACTTTCTCAATAAGGGATTTATCCCCATTTTTTCTAATATTATAATAAGAAATTCTTAATTAATGACAAATGAGCTGTTACAACATGTTATTATTTTCTGTACTAAAACTTGTCAATAAAAATTGTTTAGATGTTAGAAAATTTTAGTAAATATATATATCATCTTTAGAAGGTTATAATAAACCTTGGGGGGGGGGGGGGGAATTGTAGGGACATGCTGATTACTGACGATGATGTTATAATTTTTGCAGCGTAGTCGCGAGGGAAGGTGTCAAAGTTGGAGAGCGGTGAATTTCTCAAAGGCCAAGTTGCAGGAGGCAAACTTAGAGTTGTCATTCTCAAATTACTCCCTTCCTTACTAATGAGTTTATTGATATGTTTTATTTCTTAAATTTATAATTATTTTTTAAATTATTTATATTGATGAATGATCCCATATATAAAGTGAAAATTTTCATTAATAAGGAGAATTTTCAATGTAAATAGGGTATTTGAGAAAATTTAGCATTCATTTTTATATATAATTAATTTTCTTAGAAATAAATTATGTATTTAGTCCTTTAATTTTATATAGAGTTTCATTTTAGACTCTTAATTTTAAAAAGTACACTTTCTACCCTTTAATCATAAAATGATTAATAAAAAAATGATATTGAGATGTTGAATCTTAATAAAACATTATCCAATTTTAACATGTTAAGTTAATTTTCAAAATAACCATGATTATTATAAAAAATCATCATCAAGCTTAATGGTTTTAGAATTAAAGGATAAAAATATACTTTTTAAAGTTAATGAATTAAATTAAAATTTTATCTAAAATTAAAAAGGCATTTAGCATTTTTCTCAATGGCCTGCTTGGAATGACTTATAAGTACCTTTTCAATCATAATTTATGAAATACAAGGTATATATGTAAGAAAAATATTTATCTCAATTTTATGTGAAAGTGTTGATATGAGTTATAAATTGCTCATCTAAAACAAGCACTTAGGGGATGTTTGGATAAATAAAAGAGCACTTTTAAAAAAAAAATTTTTAAATGCAAATCGAGAGAGAACTCTTCTTACATACTCCTTTCATCTTTTTTTTATAAGCAACAACTACCATCCCTTCTTGTCCCTAAATATAAGTAACATTTACAAATTGTCTTAAATTTTTGAAACTAATTTTTTATTTTTCCCGCATTAATTACTTATTTTAATATTCAATGTATTTCTAATCTCATTTTTCAAACCATTATCTCTTTTCATTACACATTCTCTTTTTTTCATAATTTTTTTATTATAATAATTTTTTATTCTCTTTTTTATACTCCCCAATAAATAAGGGTATTTTGAAAAAAATTATAATTTTTACCTATTTATTATCTTTAATTAATTTTTTGATCTATATAATAGAGTCTTATATTACATATAAAAAAAAACAAAGGGAGTAGTTATTTTCGAAAAATTATTTTTAAAATTATAATTTGGTTCAACCAAAACACTCCTAATCCTCTAGCTTTGTTTTTTTGGAAAAATTTCATTTAAGGACCATTGTAGTCAATTAATATCAGTCAACCCCCAAAACATTTCAAATACATTTACCTTATAAAACTAATAAGAGAATTCACAATTTAAAATACAAGTATTCAGGTTTCTTATGAATCGTTGAATTTGAGTTGTAAATATATGAATTTTTGTTGTAAATCACTAAATTTCACTTGTCCATTTACACTCATACATTTATATTTTGAGTTGTGAATTACTTTGTATTTTTTGTGAATCACCAAATTTGGATTATAAGTCCATGAACTTTTATTATAAATCTTCAAATTTTTACTTGCTTATTCACATTTAAACACTTGTACCTGAGGTTGTGAATTCTATTATGTTACTTGTAAATTACCAACTTTTTGTTGTAAATTGCTGAATTTCACTTGTAAATTATTAAATTTTACTTGTTCATTTATTTACACTTGGACACTTATATTTGTTTTGTTATTTATATATATATTTGCATTATATGAGTAAATGGTTTGGTTAACGTGGTGGTTATATCATTTTTAGTGTGCCAAAGAGTCATGGGTTCAAACCTTCTCTTAATCACTTTATTTTAAAAAAAATCCTCTAAGCATTGGAGCTACAGTGACTGCCACCTGAGTACCAGTGGCAGAACCTCCGACCTCTGATAGCCAAAACTCCAGCTACAATTAATATTTTTTTAAAAAAATAAAATGAGGAGTATTATTGTAAATTTACTCTTAATTTTAATTTTCTTTTGGTCTAAAGGGGGTTGATTGAAATTTTGAAATCTTTTGAGGGTTGATTTATATTAATTGGCTACAATAGCCCTTAAATGAAATTCTCTCTTGTTTTTTCCCTGGCCATCAAGCATCCGTTATAATGAAGACAAATAAAAAGGAAACGACAAGGGGACAAATTGAAATTAAAAGTAGTGGTTATCATTGCAACAAAAAAAAGTAGTGGTTATCCTGTGGACCATGAAGTTGACAGGTTCGTAGAATGAGCCCGCGTCCACATGGCTGGGTGGATTAGGCGTCGTAAGGCTGTTAATTTAATTATTACACTTAATTGATTTGGTATGACAGGTCACTCTTTTGACGAAACAAAATTTTAATATAATCAGTTTTAAAAAAATAATCATATTACTTATGCACAATAAAAAAAGAAAAAAAACAGATAAAGAAGGTAAAATATATAATAATCTAATTTAAGAAGCTAAAAAAATGTAATGATAGAGAGGGAAGTTCTTCCTAAATTGAAAATTTGAAAGTTAGTAAAATAACAAAAATGCCTTTGTCTTTTTTTTTTTTAATAAAAAAAAGCTCAGCCTTGGTCAAAGCTTTTTTTTTTTGACCATGTGAGAATATATTGCAAGAAAGTAGTGGAAGTGAGATTTGGGCCAACAAGAAAAAAAGATGACCCTTAGGTCATCAAAGACTTCTTAATGTTATAATGCAAACAAAAATATAAGTTGACTCTTTTATTGTGACTCCAACTCATGACAACAATTTATCTAGGGATGACAACTCTTAATGGAAAAATAACAAGTCTAAATTTGATATTAACAAAGAAATTTTTTCTGATACATAACAAGAAATAACATGTATATTAATTAAAAATGACAATAATTTATTTGAAAATGACACGTTTTTACTGAAAAATAACACGTCTAAATTTGATATTAATAATGTGCTTGTTCCTGATACATAACATGAAATAACATCTGCATTAATTAAAAATGACAACAATTTATGTGGGAATGACATGTCTTAATTGAGAAATAATAAGTCTAAATTTGATATTAACAATGTGTCTTTTTCCTGATACATAACATAAAATAGCATGTACATTAATTAAAAATGATGATAATTTATTTGAAAATAACACGTCTTTACTGAAAAATGACACGTCTAAACTTAAGATTAACAATGTGCCGTTTCCTAAAACATAACATGAAATAACATGTGTATTAATTAAAAATGACAACAATTTATGTGGGAATGATATGTCTTAATTGAGAAATAATAAGTCTAAATTTGATATATCATGTTATGTATTAGGAAAAATGACACTTTTTAATTGAGAAATAACATGCGCATTAAAAAATATGTCTTAAAAATAACATGTCTTTACTGGAAAATGACACGTCTTTAGTAGAAAATGACAATAATTTATTTGGGAATGCACATGCTATTTCATGTTATGTATCAGGAAAAGACACATTGTTAATATCAAATTTAGACTTGTCATTTCTCAATTAAGACATGTCATCCTCACATAAATTGTTGTCATTTTTAATTAATGCACAAGTTATTTCATGTTACGTTTCAGGAAAAGACACATTGTTAATCTCAAATTTAAACGTGTCATTTTCTCGTAAAGACATGTCATTTTCAAATAAATTATTATCATTTTTAATAATTGTACATGTTATTTCTTATTATGTATAAGGAAAAGTTACTTTGTTAATATTAAATTTAGACTTGTTATTTCTCAACAAAGACTAGTTATCCCCAGATAAATTGTTGTTACGCGTTAAAGTCACAGTAAAAGAGTTAACTTATATTTTTGTTTGTATTACAAGGTTAAGAAGTTTTTTATGGTCCAATAGTCATCTTTTTTTGTTGTTGACCAAGGGGTAGTGGAATTAAATCCCACCCTCACCACTTTCTTACAATATATTCTCACATGGTAAAAAAAAAACAAAGAAAGCTTTGACCAAAAAAGCTCCACTAGCAACCACCACACCGTGCCGGCACTGGCCAGCCATGGATGAGGGCTGAGCTTTAAAAAAAAAAAAAAGGGCATTTTTATCATTTTACTGAAGTTCAAATTTCTAATTCGGGAAGGACTTCCCTC